TGAACTAAAATACAACAAACTACTTATTGATATTTATTATTCGCGAATTTAATATCCGGCTTTATCTGACATTTATTTATATTGGTGACAGTTGTTTACCCCGTAATCACAGTAACAATATATTCACTTTATTCTGAGAAAACCGCGCGCTTGGTAATTTGTCGTTAAATGTAATATTTTAGGTATGTTCAGAACTAAACAGATTTATTAACTTTGATCGAAATATGATGGTTGTAAATAAAATAGTATACAAACCTCGGTAGGAAATTTCATTCCTGTCTCGAGATCATAGCAAACCTCGGCGCTTCTCGTCTCGGTGATCTAACTAATCTAACGACAGGAATGAAACTCTTCCCACCTCGGTGTGTAATATACTATTATTATAAGAGAAAATCAAAGTCTCTAGCAAAATTGGACGAAAATTGGTTTTTAAATGAAGTAAGTGCTGAATCAAATGTCAACAAAAGTCGCATATTTTACCTTAAGCAACGCTAGCAAAAACAACAAAGATTATGAAGACCTTTCAAACAAGGTACCCAGACAACACACCAAATCCCAGAGATATCCACAGAATATCTTTTGTGGATATCCAATATATCCACAGGATATCAGAAATATTCCGTGGATCTAATATGGATATCCAAATGTCCGTCTATATCCAGAATATAGAAGATATCCTATGGATATTCAGCAAAATATCTAATGAGTATCTTCCAGACAATACAAGAAATCCCAGAGATATCCACAGAATATATTTTGTGGATATCCAATATAGATATCCAACCAAATGTCCGTCTATATTCCAGGATACAGAATTCAGATATTCAGCAAAATATTTTATAGGTATCTTTAGTAGAGGTTCATAAGTAACCAATGATTATTGAATAACGTAGAAAGAAAATAGAGATAAAAAATATTTCCAACAATCTGACTTTGATTTTGCCCACTAAGGGCACTAAAGAGAAAGTCATCCTTATTAGGACTCTTCAGCAATAAATGGAAATTCTCGACTCCAGTCTCTAATGGAGTCTGATTGTTAAAAAAATGTCGATCGAACTCAATTACGGCGGGTTGAGCATGAGTAGATACGAAAGTGGTATCGCCATCTATACTTAGGAAGCAAAATCAAAAATTACATCTAGTGGATATCCACGATGGTTTGCGTCCGCGCTTACACTTTGATATATTTAGTGGATGTCCATGGGATATTGAATATACCTTAAAAAAATTAATTTTAAATATCTGAACGGTACTATTAGCCACAATGGCGAGCACAATGCCATAATTTTTTAATAATTTGCTATATAATTACTTTTATTTATGGACATTTGCATGTCTATAAATTACATTTCATGGATATAAAATAGATATCCACCATGGACTGGACATTCAGTGGATATTGGGACGTTCAGTAGATATCCAAAGGATTTGGTGTGCTGTCTGGGTATAGAGAAGGTCTTTAATTAATATTTTATTGCAGAGCCATTGGCTGCCGCAATACTTTCCAGTCTTCTTGTAATTTTCCAAATATTCCTTTATTAATCTCCCAAATTCTCCATCTCATTTTATTTCTTTGCGTATTCTCATCTGACCTGTTTGCCATTAACCGTATTTGTATGTTATCCTCTTTCCAAAATTCTCTTATTTCTCGTTTATTTTCTTCCATTTCTCGTTTACTTTCATCCATTTTCACCATTAATATCTCCAACATGTCCTTTATATGCATTTCGTTTTTATATTTATTCATTTTCTCTTTAATCTGAAACTCTTTTCCTTGACTTATCTGTCCCATCTTCGTACCACTTCTTAATTTCTTGTATTTACTTTATTTTTAACTACTATATACCTAAACACGTATCCCCCCACTCTCTCAAATGATCTGCTCTCTCACACATCAAACATACAAGTATCAGTGTATTACAATAACAAGAAAATTTCTTTTACCGATCGTTGTTGCTGTCTTGCTTCCGGTTCCAACTCCTGCTGCTCTATCCCAACTCCTGTTTTGCGATGTCTTCTATTCTCCTGCCTTTTTTTAATACCTTCTTTTCTACTGTCCTTGTTTTATATATCTACTACTTTTTTCAAATATTCTATCTTTTTTTTCTTTTCAGGTGCCTCCTGCATTGGGATTCTCATCTTTAAATTCGGTACGTGCTGAGACGACTATCTTCGTTCTACAGAATGCGATTCGTATGTAATGTCTCTCTCTATTCAATTCGTTAATTACGTGTTGAGTACGCACATAAGAATCCCTATCCTGCTCTACTTTAGTTCTTTCACAGCCTGATTTTCTCTTCTACTTTGACACTTGGTTTTTTATATTTTTATTTTCAATAAAACTTTCTTTTATATTTTTTATGACTTTATTTAACTTCTAACATACAACTTTCTTCTAAAATCCAACATAAACCCTATCTCAACTTCTATCCTATCTAAACCTTCTGAAATTAAAATTACAATTCTCATTCAAATTTTCCAAAATCTCATTACCATTGCGTCAGAATCCTAAAGCCGTTTCGAATAACCTATCGACGCCAACGACGATATAGAATGGAAACATGATTGTCTAAAGTCAAATGACGGAATCATGACATATATAAGGCTCGAAACAGACCTTTAAGGTCTATGGCCTGGTTTCTTCCATTCGTCTCTGTTCTTGGCTTTTTCTTTCTAGTTGGTGATCTTTTTTTCCTAATATCATGTATGATCGCTTCCCTCTATTTCCTTTTGAGCCTTCCTATCTTTTTATCCGTTCCGGTGTTGTCCAAGGTACTTTTTTTTACGGTCCTTGTGTCCTCCATCCTTTTTGACTGTATTTCGTAGATTTTTTTGTTTGTTCGTTTTTCCCATTCTTCTGTCTTTTTGCCACCATATATTCTTCTTATATTTCGTTCCCATATTTCAATCTTGACCTATTCTTTCTTATTTAGTGTTCATGCTTCACTGCAGTATAGCATTTTAGGTCTGATTTTTGTTTTGTATACAAATTTCTTCATTTCCCATAACAATGTTTTAGATTTTAATAAATTATGTAAAGCTCCTGTTCATCTATTGCTCTTTGCTAGACGGATATCTATTTAAGTTTGTTCTTCTCATCTGCTTGTAATGAGAACGCCAATGTACTTGTAACTGTATTTCGTCTATTGTTATTTTTTCTACAGTTTTAAGTTTGTAATTCTAGTTCTCCAGGGTTTTTTCTTAAATGTTTGTTTTTAAGTTGCATATACTGACCCTTCTTTTCATTTATTCTTAGTCCCATTGTCCCTACTGTGACTAATAACTGTTCTGTTATGTCTTTGGGTTCCTTTCGCTTCTCGATAACAGTACATCATCTGCGTTTGCTAATATTTTTTGAGATCTGTTGATTAGGGTGCCTCATTTGTTTATTCCACTGTTTCTGATGACTATTTAAAAGGCTAAGTTAAAAAAGAGTGGAGAAGAGTTTCCCTGGCTAAATCCGTTTTTTCCTACTCTTATTCTACACCTTGTGCTTTTCAGTCATCATGTTTGTTAGTTTTACAAGTTTAAGTGGTATTTTTAGATCTTTCAAAGCATTTACCATTTTTCACCAATTTACTGTATCGCATGCGCTTCTAAAATCAATGAACATCTTATATGGATAAGTATTTCGTAATTATAGCAACCTGTAAGTTTACACAGTGTCTAGGTACACGCTAACTTGTACGCAATTCAAAAAGTTATATACACGCGAAACGTCTTGACAGAATAGGTGAGTTGTGTCTAGGCCGTTGGTGTTTATGCCGGTCGGCGTAGCTAGGTATGGTTTGAAATGTTCTGGTGGCGGCAAAGCTGCCACCCTACGAGAAGTCGTTGCTTCGCTTTCTTGTCACGGCATTATTATTATTTGTTCGTGTATGTGAAATTTGCTTCTAAGGTTTATAAAATACTACTGCTAGTCACGGCGTAAATGAAAACAAACAAGACGCATTCACACAAACACCTCCCACCACAGCAATATGACGTTTCGCGTGTATATAATTTTTTGATTTGTGTACACTTTAGCGTGTATCTAGCAACAGCGGTAAGTTTATACCTGCTTTAAAATAAAGATTTGATCAGTCGTTGACACCTGCCTTTTCTAAAGCTGCATTTGATATTTTCCGAAAAAAAATTCTGCTTCTTATATTCTTTTTATTGACGTGGCTAGTACCATATATCAAACGACCAGCAAGGCTATACCTCGATAGTTTCCACAAAAAGTCTGGCAACAAGGTATTTTCTTTGGAACAAATGAAAATTAAATTGCAGGGTGATGAAGGGAATTATATTCTGGATTTTTGAGGACATAAAATTTATGTGGCCGCAATTTTGAATGTATTTAAATGGCTAACGTAGGTCGAGTAATATATCAGAGAAAAGCTTAGTTTCCCCTCTTTTCAAGAATACTAAAAAAGTAGTTACATTACTAACGTAATTCAGTCCCATTCATCACACTACAATGAAAATACCTTGGTGCCAGACTTTCTCTCTACCCCGTATATTGGTATTATGTTCCTCCAATCTAGTGTCATTTCTTCTATACTTTATCTGATTAATTTCTATATTTTAGATTCTCTACGGAAATTTTGTTTCTGGCTCCTATTATTTTTCATGCTTGTAATAATTTCTGTTATCTCTTATTCTGAGGGTTCCTCAGCATCTAATTATATTTTAATTCTTTGTTCCGTCCGAGTTTGTTAGGTAAGTATTAATGACCACTGACCACTTCTGTGGAAAAATTCCAACAAGCGCGAAAACGATATTTCGGTCCAAATCATTCGCTGTACACAAAAATTGTATTCAGTGCATGATTTGTACCGAAATATCGTTTTCGCGCTAGTTGGAATTTGGAACAAACCTGTTATTTTGTATGCATAACATTTTGTGGGCATTTATATTGATACAAAGGGTGCTGATTCTAGAATGCTTACCTGCTATAAACAATTTTTATTCTGCTTTTAACGAAAAGTTGGGATATTCATAAAAACACAAATATGTTCCGAAAAATATTTATTGTACACTTTTTTTTAGAATATTTTTATACAAAAATGTTTTTTACTTTAAATTAAATCAATGTTTTTTTTAGATATTCTCCTCAACATGCAACTATGTAGGTACTAATCACTGATAAGATATAAAGTGGGCGATCAAAAAATCGATCTCTGTATTTTTAGATGACACCAATATTTTTTATTACTGAATTTATTATTATTATTTAAAGACAATTTCTTTTTAAACAAGTAGCAATAAATTCTATTCTAATCACCAAACATACAGGGTGTTCCTTAATAATATGCAAATATTCAAGGATATGAAACTACATCAAAAAATAATGATAGTTTTATAAACTATGGTCCAAAAGTTCCGTTATGAAAATACAGAGTGTTGAAGTTTTAGGAAAAAAATTAATATTTTTGAAACAGCTGGAGATATTTCAGTGATATTTATGTTATGATATCTTTCAATACAAAATAATTTTCAGTTTTAACGGGCATCGACTTCAATATTTTTACAGAGAAAAATAGTACGCCAATATTATTTTTGAATTCCCCGTTCAATTTTAAACACAAGATCTCTCTTGAGTTGTTTCCCTGCGATGCACCGTTCTTGAATAAAAAACTAAAAACCGTTGTATTGGCCGATATAATTAATGTAATTAAAAAATACAATTTTCCAATTAATCAAGTTGCACTTTCATAACTGTCACTTCGTACTAAATATCACTGGAATATCTCAAGCGATTTCGAAAATAATATTTCTTTTTTTTTTAACTTTAGGACCCCGTATTTTCGTAATGGAACATTTTTGGACCATACTATCATTAATTTATCATGTAGATTCACACCCTTAAATAGACGAATAGCATTAAGGAACACCCTGTATAAACAATTGCAAGAATAATTTAGCCTTTATGACTAAAGATACATGGAGGGTAAAAAGTTAAAAACCTATTACACAAATTAATTTAATATAAAAAAAATTATATCGATAAAAAATTTAAAATGAATGATATTGTTTGTATGTTAATTCGGCCAATTTGAAATTTTACAAAAAAATAATTCAACAGGCATACAAAAAGTCCCAAAAATATACCTACTTACATAAATATATAAAAGTTAATCATATACAAAAAAAAATCCTAAAAAACTACAAGTACAGACTAGAAGAGAACACAATATCTCTTTTAATCAATTTGATGGCTGTATTAAATTTATCTTCTAAATCTGTATTACCAATAGTTTTTGAAGCTTGTACCATTTGTCTCAAGAGTTCCTCCAACCTACGCATACATCTCACTATAGACCCCTCGAAAATATCCGTCATATCACAAATACTTTTGAAAGGGCTACCGTTACACCAAGCAAAGACAACATCCATTAAAAATGGTTTAAATTTCTCCACATATGTATCTTCTTCTAGCGGAAGTTTGGCCTCTGTGCTGACTTTAGCTATTCTTCTAGCTAGATCTTGCATTTGACGTAGAGGACCAGAAAGTTCTTCAGATAATTTTGGAGTTTCATTACTTTTTTCGTCGCAAACGAAACAACTAAGTAGAGCAGTACTTTGGGGAGGAGTTAAAGTACCGAAGACACCATTAAATATCATTTCTGTAATAAGCAGTTCATCTGCAGAACTTAGTTCGCAGGCAACTCTTCCTTTCAACTGGATGACATCAGTAGTCGTACAATACCCTAATCTTCTTAATACCCTCTTTCTACATTTTAGTTCGTCAAGTTGCAGTACTGATTTAGCGTCCATTAATTTTTGCTTGGCTACTTCAAATTCTTTAAGTGCTACAACCTTCTTTTCATACTTTGCATATTCTTCATTTAAGTTTGGGTACTTGTGCATGGGATGTTCATACATCTTCTTTTCTAAAATTTCTATCTTTTTTACAATTTCTAGAAATTCCTCGTTATTGATTTTCATGTCTGTAACAGGGTTGAGTAGTGGGGGTCCTTCTGGGAACCTCTTTTTAACTTCCTTAACAGCTTTATACATTCCTTTGCGACTTTCTTTAGAGCGTAAGTCACTGGGACAATACAATCTTACAGAAGATATATGGGTGATTAAAGTAGAATCCACACTGACTACCTCAATTTCTCCTTTCTGACTATCAGAGCAAGGTTTAGGTATCTCAAATTGATCAGGATTTTCTGAAATTACGTGTAAAAGAATGTCTACTTTAACTTTTGTTTGCATTTTGGCCTGTCCCTGCTTCGTTTTCTTGCCTGGTATAATTTCTTGAACTTTTTTAAAATTAACAACAGCGCCCCAATCGTATTCATCTTCGGGTGTCTTTATCTTTAACAACCTACCGGGCTGTAGAAATGGTATCAAATGTTCAGATTTGGTTAGATGTATCCTGAATTCTATGCTCAAAGTGTTCAATTCTTGTCTTATATTGTAATATGAAGCAATCTGATCTTCATTTTCAATCTCAAACGAATTTAGATGCTCCATTTTTTTCTGGTAATCTTCATAATAACCTGGAATAGCAGTTTGATTTTGAAACTGAAAGAATGACCTCTCCAACATATATTCTGGATTGATTTCTTCAACTCTTAAAAGATTAAGTACCATATTATATGTCAAATGAAATGCAGAATTTATAGGATCGGGTAAACCTTTAACAATGTTTCGACCTGCAGCTGGTGGTACCTTTTCATCAACCATTAGAATGACAATACCTTTATCATCAAGACCTCGACGCCCTGCTCTTCCAGACATTTGAATATATTCACCAGAGGTTATCCAACGGTACTCACTACCATCAAATTTTCTCATACCAGTAAACAAAACTGTTCTTGCTGGCATATTAAGACCCATTGCAAACGTTTCTGTAGCAAATAAGGCTTTTATTAAACCTTCGCCAAAAAGAATTTCAATGGTTTCTTTTAAAATTGGAAGTAGCCCACCATGATGGATGCCAATACCTCTTCGTAATAAAGGTAAGAGATTTTCTACTTGTGGTAATTGCTTATCTTCTTCTGTTAGGACATCCATTGCATTATTAAAAACTTCATCTACCAGTTGCTTTTCCTGGGTGGTGTTAAAATCTAATTTTGTCATTTGCATTGCATAAACTTCACAATCTTTCTTACTAAAAGAAAATACGATCACCGGTGCAAAATTTCTTTCCATTATCATTTTAGTTACTTTAAAAATATCTGTTTGTGATGCATCCTTGTTAGCAAAGCCTCCTTTTTTACCTTTTTGGTCTCCTTTGCCTGCATCACCTTGTAATACAGCCATGGCAGCATTGAAGCTGTCATCTTTAAATGTCCCCGATTCATCTACAACCATATGTATGCCATTTCCACCAGCTGGGTACAAGAAATGTTGTAACGGAGTGGGTCTGTAATCAGTATAAACAACGTGGCATGGTTGTTGATGAAGATGGGATACCCATTCAACAAATTGCCTAGCATTCGGTATAGTAGCTGACAAAAATACAAAGTGGACATTGTGTGGAAGTAAAATTAAAGTTTCTTCCCAAACTACACCTCTTTCTTTATCTCTCATGTAATGAATTTCATCAAAAACGACCCAACCGACTTCTCGCATTATTTCCGAACCTCTATACAACATGTTACGTAAAATTTCTGTGGTCATAATAAGACAAGATGCAGATGGATTTATTGTTACATCACCAGTGACTAAGCCCACATCTTGAAATTCATCCAAAAACTCCCTGTATTTCTGATTTGATAAAGCTTTAATAGGGGTTGTGTAAATTACTCTTTGTTTGTTTTTCAGACTTGTAGCAACAGCATATTCAGCTACAACAGTCTTACCTGCCGAAGTGTGAGCAGACACCAAAACTGACTGATTGTTGTCTATGCATAGTATAGATTCGACTTGAAAGGGATCTAATTTGAATGGATATACTCTTACAGGGTCACCTCTTGGTGGTTTTAACGGTACATATGCCTGATTGGGAGGACATGCCACTTCGTGTGTACAAGATTCTATAGTATCTATGGTATGCACAACTATCCGATTTTTTAGTTCTTCAAAATTGATGTCACTTACTTCAATAATTTCTTCTTCGGTTTTAATTTTTTTTCCTGTTGGTTCTTCTTCCACTTTACAATCACTTTTTCTTTTATGGTAATCCGACGGAGGATTTTTATCGACTTCGCCATTTTGAACAGTGTCTGATATTTTAACAGGTTCCTCTTCAAAACAATCAAAAAGATCGTCTATTGAATCAGCCATGGTTTTATTGTTTGTTTAGTTATAAATGATGATAATAGATTATCCTGTAACAAAAGTAATAAGATATTGGGTGGTACTAGACTATAATTCGAAAATCATATTGAGAATGTATCAGAGCTGGGGAGGATTCGAATCCTGGGATTCGAATCCTCTTTGAGGATCCGCGAGCGGTATTCGAATACTTAAGAAAAAAAGGATCCGTGATCCAGATTCGCCGAAAAAAATTCTTAAGGATTCGTATTCGAATCATCAATATTAGTCTCGGATCCTTTTAAGAGATCAAACTACGCCGGCGCGAACGGTCGACTCACACTTTGACTTGTCGCGAAGTGTAAACTGAAACAGACTGAGACTGAAGACCGATTGTTAATATTTAGAAGATAAACGTAAAGCTTAATTTATAACCGCCGTAACGTAACTTAAGAACTTAACGTAAGAAGTTGAAATATTGCATTTACGTATACTTATTTATAATGTTCGTAACGTAACTTAAGAACTTAACGTACCGTAAAAAGTTCACCAACTTTTAACTTAACAACTTAACTTAACTTAACTTAAGACCTTACGGTTAGCCAATGAGATAATTCTGAGTTCAGCATGTGATAACTGTCAATTATTCTTTTTATTTATTTTTTTTTATAAATGAATAGACAAATATCATTTGTAAACTATCATTCTCCTTTTTGATGGACATACATTATCATGAATGATTTGTGTTTATGTTATTGGGGATAAACTATTTATGAAATATGAGTGTTGCTGCATATACCTATAAACATCAAGCCTAGAACTGAAATAAGACACAAAACTAGTTTGCTAGGAAAGATTAAATTCTCATTATTGCTCAAAAACAATCAACATCTTCGGTTAACTATTCTGTTGTATTATATTTTTATATTATTGCTTTTAAAGTAGTTAATATATTCTTTCTATATAGCAAAATCATAATTTATAAGTTTTATTTAGAGGTTAGGTACATTGTTTACACTTGTTTATTTCATAAGGTTGTCAGTAATTTGATAATCTCTTAAATACAACATGCATGATCAACTCTTACGTTACGGACATTTATAAATAGACTTTATTTTTATATCTTAGGTTAAATTTCTAAGGCGTTAAGTTACGTTACGGTGGTTATAAATTATACTTAAGAATCTACTGAGGAATCTACATATTTTTAGGCTATTTTGTGACTATATTTATAACTCATTCAAAAATTTTATGCTCCTCGCTTTTTACAAAAATCAATGTTCTCTGCTAGCTTCGAACAAAGCCAGCAGAGCACCTTGGTTTTTTAAAGCTTTTTTATAGAAACAACCACACTGCATTTTTAGGCTATTTTTAGGCTCCAAAATATCATAAAACTTTATTAAAAATTGCTATTTATAAATAATACAGGGTGCTTTGTTGGAAAAAAGTCAGCAGAGCACCTCAGTTTCTTAAAGCTTTTTTTCTAAATACAACCACACCGCATTTTTAGACTATTTTTAGTCTCTTGAAATATTTTATTTATTTATAAATTTGGCAACCTAACAAGCAAATAAATGTCCAATTATAAGGTTGCACGAAAAATATATTACCTATTTTCATGATCAGTACATCATACTAACTTAATACTTTAAAACTTTACTAAAAATTGCTATTTTTAAATAATTCAGGTGCTTTGCTAGAACAAAGTTAGCAGAGCACCTCGGTTTATTTTGTTTTTTCTCTAAAAACATCTACTTATGTCACATGTTTGAGCTATTTTTAGGTTCTCAAAATATTATAAAACTTTTCGAAAAAAATAATGTTTTTTAAAAGTACAGGGTGCTTTGTTGAAACAGAAGTGCTTTGCTGGCTTCATTCGAAGCTAGCAAAGCAGCCTGTATTTTTTAAAAATAATATTTTAAGAGCCTAAAAATATTGTCGTTGTTTTTGGAAAAAAACTTAAAAAAAGGAGGTGCTGTGCTGACTTAAAATAAAATATATTTTTTGTAGATTCTAATTTATTTATGGTTCATATTTATAGAAAAAAAAATAAGTTTATTCTTTTCAACATCTTCTTGTATCAACCATTTGTATGCAAGTCATAGTCAATAATAGACACATAGTTGATATTGATATTAGATTTGGAAGCATGCATAATACCATGGTATGAGGCTGACAGTGATTAGTATTCGTGATCCGAAAAAATGGATTTGAATCACTTGATTCGAATCCTTTTTTATTGCAAAAATGATTCGGACATAGGATCCGTGATTCGAATCACATCTCGTGATTTGGACTCATGATTCGAATCAATTTTTTGAGGATTCGTCCCAGCTCTGGTATGTATACAAATAAGATGTTTGCTTTAAATAATTAAAAAGAAACACGATCCTCAAAAAATAGAAATTATAGGCCTATCAGCTTGTAAACATTTTAAACATCTACAAATTGCTACAAGCAATAATTTCCTATAGTTCAGACTTGATATAATAATCCTCATAACCTAACTTCTGATAGCTACTTAAGAATCTGATAAACTAAATCATATATAAAACTGAAATTATTATTCTATAACTAGATAAATTAAACTTATAAAGTTATTAATTTCGATTGATCCATGCTAAAGCAGAAAATTCTGATAGTAAATAGTGAAAGGAATAGGCACTTACCAATCAATACAATTGTGGGATACAATTATGAACAGTAATTAATAATTGTACCTAGATCAAATGTACTTTGTTTTTGTGCATTTCTCTTTATAACGTGTAAAATTTAAAACACTTTTCTTTAAATTTTTACAAGCGTGGTGACAAAAGTTATTAGAGTTGATTTCTGTTACAAAACAAAGACATAACCTCACTTTAATTTTGGATTTTTAATTTTACCAGAAATTAAATTTTGACTTGACCGCTTATGTAGCTTATTAACAAAATTAAGGTATAGTTAATCGGTATGGTTAATTAATTTATTTCTTTTTATGTGAATATGAATTGTGACTGGTTTCCTTATTTTTATTTGTCACATGACATACAAATATTTCGTCTTATTTTATTTTACCTCTACCTCTATTTAGAACATTTCAACCAGCGATTAGCAATTAATTATATATGAAATGATAAAAATTCGAAATCATATAAAAATATAAATTTATTTAAAGTGATTATTTATTGCAGGTGCTGAACTTCTTTTTATTTAGGGTTGGCCCCGGAGGAATATTTTTATTTTAACAGAATGAACATTTAAAAAAAATATACATAAATAACAAAAAATACATATTATTATTTTAAAACATCTAATAAAAATAAAAAATAAGTTTAATCGATAGCCGCAACAGCTCAGGCACGTCAAAAAAATAGAAAGAAGTAGTAATTAGTTAATTAGTGGCGCTATCTATCATGGAGTAGCTAAATTTAGAAAAATCAGAGAGACGTTTTGTTGAATCTTGGAAATTCGAATTACAAATCCTTTATAAATTCTTGAATTACTAGTAACAACAAAACTTTAGTATCAAATAGCTGAATAATATGTGAACGACTTTTTAATCATTAATCAGGCGAGTTCGGATAGTCAGGGGCTGGAGCGGGACAAATTTTAGGGTGCTTTTAAATGACATTTAAGCGTGTTAAACTGTCACTAATCGGGCTAAACATGGACTAAACCACAAGGCATGTGACTAAACCGAATGCTAAAAGGGTCGTTTGGAGTTAAAAGTGTTAAAGGAGTTAAAGGAACTTGGCAGACCGAACGCAATGATCATAGGTATTTTCCTTTGCATCGAAAGTGTAGCACTGAGCTACGTCACTTCTGAAAATACTGTTCTATTCATACAATTTGTATAAACGGAACGATATTTTCAGAAGTGGTGTAGCTCAGTGCTACACTTTCGATGCAAAGGAAAATACCTATTTTGAATGACATTCGTATTGACATTTGACATTGACAAAGTGAGTCTGACAGTTGCTGTCAAAAATGACTAGATGAATTATTGGAAAATGTGTTTATGTGCCAAAAATGTATAATAAAAACCGAACATAATTAAGATTTTATCGAAAATAGACAAACTTCGACATGAGCGACAGCCCAAGAACCTTGAGCAATGAAGCTATGGAGAAAATTATCGGAAATATGACTGCGGAAATGCAAAATATCGATGGTCAATATGTTCCTTTAGGCTTCACTCCACCACCAGCGACTACAGAGCCCTTAAACTGGAGTCAGCATCCACAACCCAGTTTTATTAATCGATTTTCGCCTAATTTGGAGCAATTTCCACAGCAGCCTTTTAATTATTTGCCCCAAACTCCCCAGATGTTCGAGCCAAATGGGTATAAAAAGAACTTATCTGACTATGATCTCTATAAAATGCAAAACGGCAATCCAGATTTGGGACTCTTTGATACCGAATATTCCTATATGCCTCAAATAATGAACCCCGTTCCTGATCACCCATTACTTCATCATGATTCTGTCCCAGTTTCCAATCCCACACAATTGATAGACTTAGTTGGAAACTGGATGGTTCCAAATAACAGTGGTACCTATACTCCCTTTGGTACTTCTGAATATAAGCCAAATGTTTTTGATTTACCCTCTGATCTCAACAACGGTACAAATTTGAATATGAAAGAAGATAATCTGTTTAAAAGTGACCAATTGGATGATGTACAATTTCAGTTTAATAGGGATACTCGCAAACCTAGGATGGTTGCTGAGGTTAAACCTATGAGACCTAGTTATTCTGATGTTTTGACTAAGCCTGTAGCTCAGACTGTAACTAAATCATTGAAAAATGAAGCTAAGGAGAATAAGTTAAAAAAGGAAAGTAAAAAAAATAATAAAAATGAGAAGAATCAGAAAGTTAATGGTCCTTTAGGGAAGAGTACTGTTAATAATGATATTAAGGATGTATCTGCTGATAAAAATAGCCAGACTAAGCAAGACAAGAAAACTGCCAAAGGTATTTACTAATTAATTTTTAATTCTTTAGAAATACTTTCAGTATCAAAATAAAATTAATGTTAGGGAGATTATTTCCATTTTATCATAAATATGAAAAATAAGAGTTTTACCTCGAGTTTAACATAAAAAAACAGGGATAAAAAAAAATTCTACATTATAATTCCACCCTCTTAAAGAATTCCATGACTAAGGAATTCAGTGTTCTTCCACATTTTTAAATATCCGATATTTAGATGCCCCTTTCAACAAAATAAAAGGATATACCTAACTAGAATGTGAATGTTTTGTTTTATGTATAATTTTGTATCCTACTTACATCTTGCTGTTCAATAAAAAGAGTCTGCATATAATGTGACTTTGTAAACATTCACATTCTAGTTTAGTGTTTGTTAATAATCAATATAGGGGGTGGAAATTAAAAATAAATCGTCAGGTGATCAAATTAGGGAGAAATAAAACAAACAAAAAATAAACCAAAATATATTTAAGGAAACAAAAACAAAAAAATAAAACAGTGGAACAGAACTAAAATATATCATAAAATATTGAAAATTTTAACTAAATATCGTTTTATATTTCTTTTAAATACTTTGTACATTGTTCCCATCTCTTTCTAATCAAATCTTCCAATTATTTTGAATGGATGTTCCAAGCAAGTGATGGGCATGATTTTACATATTTGGACAGAAATCTTTCTCTTTAGGTAAAAGTCTGGCTTGAGTTCATTTTGAGAAAAAGTTTTTGAAAAGAAGTTGATGCTTGAGCTGGATTTTTATTGTTGTCAAGGTCTACATATTTAACAACTTGGCAGCTGATGATGCAGAATAAATGTTTTTGGAGACCTCTGTAGTATTTTTGTAAACAATATCAATTTTTCTATGACCATTGTAAAGTACATTTTTCAGGAGCTATATGAAAAATTACAAAATATTTTTCAAATCCAGTAAAACATCTCTTAAAACTATTCCCGCAGCACCTATTATTAAATATACTGACACAAGTGCTACTACTGCCAGTTTAATTGTTATGTGGAAGAGTCATAGCAATAAAACATGTCACATGAAACATGTGATGGAATTGTATGTATATTTCTGCCATCTTTCACTAGAATTCTATCAATTTGTCCACCATAATTGATTCCAAGGTGGTATACCCCTCATAAAAACAAATGAATCCAGTATATTTTTTTTTTGTTTTTTTAAATAATTCTTAAATTATTAAATGAACCACTTATGTGATTGAGTTGTAATGTTAACTTTTTTGGGGTAGGTAATAATATGAACAGGAAATGGGCTTCTCTTGAAAACATCTCTGACACTCAAATAAAAGTTGAAGAAACCAAGAAAAAGAAAAATGATGATAAAAATACAAATCAAAAATGTTCAAAGAAATACAGCAAGCTTGTTAATGAAATGAGTGTTGAGGAAAACATTTCAAAATGTGATGGAATTAATTTATGCAAAAATTTAAAAAAGACGACCAAGCCAATAGTCAGACCAAAAGCTAATGACTCATTTGGTAGTAACGATAGGCCTCCTGGCAAGAGAATACAGAGGTCTAGGAAAAAGGAAAACCATGTCCCATTTGGTAAGGCTGATGTTTTCTACATATAATATGTTTGATTTCTGTAATGTTTTATTTTTCATGAAAACTTAAATTACAAATCAAATAAAAAATGCTTTATTTAAAACAATAAAATTCGCATTAACAAAATTCAGTATAATTATTTATCTCGATCTCTACATATAATTATTATGCATACCTATATGTTTAATTGTCAAGGGAAAATGATTAAAAATGTGTCTTCCTTATAAATCACTATTTTCCAAGCATTATGTGTAAATTTGTAAGTATAAAAGTATGCTGTGCAAACAGGGGTCTGAATTAGGGTGATGCAAAAAATGTCAAATTAATATTTTCAAATCACTATACCGCAGAAAAGTGTTTTTAGAATGAAGCCATTTTGAAATATCTTCTTTTTTCCATCTTGTTGTAGGTAGTGACTCCTTTAACCGACTGTGATAATAAAGGAGTTGGCTGGAATTTTTTTTATAATGTTCTGAAATTAATGTTTAAATACAAAGCCATCCATTTCTTCTTGGTAGTATTTTGTTTTCTTTCACTTGAATATTAATAAACAATCTGGAAAAAACCATCGATGCATCCAATGTGGGTTATTATTTTGTTTTTTACTAGATAAAGCATTGATATTAAACGATTTCCTTTTCCTATTGGATTTTTTTAATCCACAAGAGACTCCTTTCATTAAGGCTTGTGTTTTAGTTTTAATGGAGGTATCTTGCCAAATAAAATATCTGTTTTTGCTGATTCCTTGTGTCCACTATTTTCCTTAAATAATCATGTCTCCACACAATGATTACATCTTTCTCTGTTAAAAAGCTGTTTCTATCACGTTTGTTTGTAACCAAAATTTAATTCATGTAATATTTTTTGCAGATGAAAATATATATTTGGAAGAGTAGGGCTGTTTTCTATTTCTGAGTGTAATTTTTTAATTATAAGAATTTCATTTCGAAAGAAAAAAGAATGTACCCTTTGTCTTATTATATTCTTTACCCAAGTTTCAATAAAGGTCTTGTTTCTTCCTGGGGGCTTTTTCCTATGTGAGACTTCTCCAATAACTGTATCTTCTTTAATATTGTTAGTCACTGTCCTCTTAGATACTCCAGTATAGATCTCACATTCAGTGGCTATTTAATCCACAGAAAGTGAAACAAAGTCTTTTCGAAGATTATTAAATACATTAAGGGCTGATCTTTTTACCTTTTTTTATAATTCTGCCCAATCCGTCTACTAAATAATTTTGGGCCAGTTGTTACCTAGTTAAATACTGAAAATGTAGTAAGGAAACAGCCCATTGCAATGGTCATACAATTTGTCGATTAGCTATACTTTTCCATTCAGTATTGGTATTAGTAACATCACAGCCAATGGTATTGTGATGAAAGTCTAATTTATTTAAAAACACACTATTTACAGTTTATTTCAGACGTACTATTTAATTTATGTAATATTTAGACACTAACAATTCTAATTTATTTCTTACACTTTAACTTTTCAATACAATGATCTACATTAAACTAAACTCGGCGCTGATACGTCGGCTATTTATATTAGTCCAAATCCGCTACTGGAAAATACGAGAGGCTCTCGAACATTCCTTTTTATGACTAAGCGGTACTCTCCGCCATTCCAGTCGCTTCCAGTGCTTCAGCGGCAGACATTCCGTCGTATTCTTTTACATTCGAGAGGCGGTCCGGCTGTTTCCACACGTCAGCGTTGCTTCGATCACGAAGTGAAGGCCGCGTGCGTACACAGGCACAGGGTCGGATTAGCGATATCATGACAGTATCAAGGTGTTCGAGGGAAATTTTTTCTTCAGTAAAATACGATACAATAATTGATGCAATGTCCTTAGCAGATCCTTATTTTGGAGACACGTGGCCTAAATAAATAGAAGCAGGTTCTTGAATGATGGAATAATGTTCATCTTTTTTTGTTCAATGAATTTTTTTTTTTTTATAATTAAAGTATCGTTTTTTCTGCCATCCAAATAAATAGCTCATACATTATTTGAATCCTGTGTACTTTTTACCTGTAAATTATTCCTAGCTTGACTCCTTTCCTTTCTTATACAAATCGACTACTTTGGAAGAGTTGATATTGTTCTCAATAAATAAATCCCACCTCACATGGTATTTGGACAGATTACTTAACAGTATAAGTGGAACTTTTATAAACATTTGATTTGTTTCCGTAAGATGAAATTGAAAGTTTTATTGATTCTTTATTTACAATGTACATTTATACAACCAAATCACTTTTTTGACAAACTTCGCATTTCGCACAAATTGATACATTACTCTGGTAATGAATGAAATTTTTTAAATCTAACCTTTTTGACAAACTTCACATTTCGCATACCTCATTGATATGGTAATTAATTGAATTTTTTGTATCCAATGTAGTATTTTTAGATACAGTTTGTTTTGATTAGCATGTATTTGAAAAAGGAGGATTGTCATTGGTTCATGTATTATAATGTTAAATAATCATTAAAGTTGTTGAATTTGTTAATAAAAAGTTTATCAATGTAAATAAATGACTTGCATTTTTTTAAGATACTAAAAATATAGTCATACTCGGTTTTTATTTTAATCACTTGTAATTACATTTTTGTATCTTTTTTTTTTATATTTTCCGGACTAGTAGTTTAGTGTTCATATTGGTAATAAATGTGATTATACAGTAAATAAAAAATCAATAAATAATCAAGATACATACCATACTAAATTTAGTTTACATATTGGTGCATTTTTCAAATGCAACAATAATTATTCATCGTCACTAGCTGTTTAAAAATAAAGATAGTGTGCCTTATCATAATGTATTTGAATACATTTACATGTGAAACAACTCATTCATCCTCACCACTCAAACTAAATATACTTACTTTCTATTATAATGTTGTTTGGTGTTAAAAATTGTAAAAATGTTTAAAAAATATATAAACTTTTCATAATTTTTGTTATTATTTTTGTTTAAAATGTTATGGTTCATATATGAGAATTACTTTATTTCAGGAGTTTTTGGACAAAAATTGAAACATTATACCAAAGGTTGGTGGAAAATTTTTACAGTTTTCCTACTGTGGTTGTTCCATTTGATCTCAGATATTTGCCAACTGAGTTTACATATTAGTCGTGATATGTAAGTACTATGTTAATGGTTTTTTTTTATTAAAGTATCAGTATTGATGTCCTTAACCTAATAAATAAAATATTCCATAAAATTATAGAATCTGGTATCCTTAGGTCCAGGTTCTAACGAATATAGTTAGTTATCTTGTAATGGTCTGGTCTAAGCTGACCAACAAATACACTTTCATTCATTTCATAAGAATTAAAAAAAAATACATAATCAGCTACATTTAACAAAACTTTTTTAGGGCTTTAATTTCTTGGGCATGGATCTGTCTTCATTGGACCATAGTTTTGACTGCCTCGACTAACTTCTTAATGAAAATTCGCTTCTTCAAATGGCTCCATGACAAGTTCAAAGGCAGGAAAAAGTCGGAAAGTACAGATGATACGCCCCATTTCACACATAGTGGCCTTCAGAACAACATTAACATGCCTACGACCGGCGACGAGGCAATGAAAAGATTGCTGGCTTGTAAAGGAAAAGATCCATATAGCATACTGGGGGTAGCGCCCACTTGTACTGATGACGATATTAAAAGGTTAGTTAGATTCGTAAAAGAAATTGGACTAAAATTTTTGTTTTAAAGCTGTTTATAAGTTAGTTATGTAATTGTATTATGTTTCAGGTATTATAAAAGACAGGCTTTTTTGGTACATCCTGATAAAAATAATCAACCAGGTGCCGAAGAAGCTTTTAAAATTTTAGTTCACGCTTTCGACATGATTGGGGAACCAGAAAGACGAGCAGCTTATGATAGAGGTTAGTGATTGTTTAAAATTTGGTACAGCAAAAACCCAGGTAGGTACGTTAAGTAGTGTAATATTATTTATTTATTTATTTATTTTTTTATTAATAATGTAGATAGTGAATATTTCAATTTCATAATTAAAAAGATCCAATTCAAATGTGGCCAAGACGTAAAATAAAATTAAAATAACCTGAAGTCAATGTCACGTAAATACAGACGGCCATTTCCCCTCAGGAAAACTACTACTCTTTTAACTAATACCACAACAGGAATTGAATTATATCCAATGGACAACAGCAAAGATCGAAAATAATTTCTAAAGAATCTCCAAGGGGTTTGGGGACGATCTTAATAATTCGTAGGAGGATTTTTGAGACTTAATTCAGAATTTTCAAATTATTTAGAAAATAATTTTCAACGCTACCTTTGATTATGCTTACCATTCTTAGACCGGTCTCGTCCTTATTTGGACTCGTCAGAAAGAAATAGACATCTCGATTTCAGTCTATAATGAAATTTGTAGAGGCATCAAATTCAATCGCCTAAACTAAAGGAGGTTATGAGTGAATAAGTAGTTAAACAGTAACGCCATCTGCACTTAATAAGCAAAATCAAAGGTTGCTTGCAATACTCAGTTTAAAAACTAGTCGGGATAAACAACCGAACCGAAAGAAAAAAGATCCAATGCAAATGTGACCAAGACGTAAAATAAAAATCACTCAAAGCCAATGTCCTTTTTTAATGCCCGCTTGGCATTTTATCCCGCCTAGTTTTTTGATTTTGCTTTGCTTACTGAGTAACTTCTTATTCACTCGTAACCTCTTTTATCTTATCTTTAAAAATATAATTATTAACGAGTCATGGGAAGACATGTATAACTCATCTGAGTTCAATAACAAATTTAACAGCTTTTATTCGACTTTTTTTGTACCATTTCAACAACGCTTTTACATTTAAAAAAGTTAAACCTAAACAACACAAAAGTAGTTTTTATAACGCGGAACTAAGTGCACTGCATGAGATGCTGTGTGAATTACATAGTATATACATAACTAGTAATAATGATACTATTAGGGATAGATATAAAAAACTCAAAATAATTTATGATAATAAAGTCAAATCAGCAAAAAATTTTCTATCATAATAAAAGGGTAATTAATGCAAAAAATTCAACAAAAGAATGTTAAAGAATTGTAAATGAGGCAAAAGGAAAAATCAGTAAAAAAATTACCCATCGAGATGCTAAATTGTCAAGGCAACAAAATTTCTGGTGTACAAAATATATTTAATGCTTTTAATAATCAGTTTACTGATGTAGACTATCTTCTACCATATTATAGTGAAGCAAGGCACTCTATATTTAACTCAAACTACCCCAAAGGAAATAACAGAAATTATACAGAAAACGACTTGTAAAAAGTCTGCCAGTATAGATGAAATGGAACGATATTGTCTTTTATTGCTGAAGATATTAGTGTACCTATGTCCTACCTTATAAACGAGTCTTTTTTATGTGGTGACTATCCTAGCATATTAAAAAAATCAAAATCCATTCCTATATATAAAAATAAAGGGTCTGTAAATGACATGGCAAACTATAGGAACATCTGCATTCAAAGTCAATTGGCTAAAGTATTCGAAATGGCCTATAATAACAGGTTCATTAAATTTCTAGAACATAATAGAGATTTAAGTAAATTTCAACATGATTTTCGCAGAAATAAGTCAACATCTAGTGCTATAGGGGAGTTATGCGATTTTGTTTACACAACTTACAAGGAATTAAATATTATCTTATCCTTCAACCTCTCACGAGCCTTTGACTCAATTGACCATCGACTGCTAGTATATAAATTGTACCGAATAGGTAAGAGGGGCCCGCCAAATAAGTGGATACAATTATATTTAAACAACCATGAACAAGTTGTAACCATCGGATGCAGTAAATCAAATAGTCGAAATGTGACAACGGAAGTACCGCAGGGCTCAATATTGGGCCCTGTTTTATTTTTAGTTTTTATTAATGGCTTAGCTCTATCTTGTACAAGTCAAAGTACCAAAATTATATATTCAGATGACACAACTTTTGGAACATCAGCAAAAAATGCATCTGAACTTCAATATATTGCTAATAGTGCTGCACATGAATTTTATAGTTATTGTATTTCACACGGCTTAAATGTTAATGTAAAAAAATCTGAAATCATGACCTTTCTGCCAAAAAATATAACAAACGACTTCAGCTATCTCGTTAAACTAAATCATCAATCATACAAACAAATTCGAGCAAATTCTTAGGTCTAATTCTGGACAGCAAGTTAATGTGGGAAAATCATGTAGATCATGTATCAGATAAACTAAATAGTGTATGTTTTCTAATGACGCAGTTAAAAAACACTGTAAATCCCGATGTTTTAAAATTAACATATTTTGGTTTGGTTGAATCAATTATCTCATATGGTCTAATTTTTTGTGGCTGCTCAGCTCATCTGGAGCGAGCCTTCTGTGTACAAAAAAAAGTTATAAGATGTATGGCTGGGGTTTCAAGTACAACTAGCTGCAAACAACTTTTTCATGACTATAAAATCCTAAAACTCCCATCTTTGTATATATATTTACTAATACTTAATATAAAAAAACAGGAATCCCAACCATCAGATTATAGACACACAATTATAACACACGCAATATCTACAGCAGTCTTTCTCTAGACTCTTAGTTGGACAGAATTTCGAAATCTACAGAGGTGTTGCATGTTTTAATAGATATACTCAAGTCAATGGTAATTAAAAAATCTTTAATGTATTCAAAAATAAGCTTTATGCATATCTTTCGTCCAAAACATATTAATCCTATGCAGAATTTATGAATGATACTCGGTGATCCGTAATGTTATCTATTTTAATTATTGTCTAATGTTTTTGCCCTATTGTATACTATTTTAAATTTGTACTTCATTTTAAACTCAATTGTAGCATGTCTCTACTTTTTAAAATTGTATGTGTTGACAAGGCTAATAGGTCTTATATGTTTATACATTTTTTAACCTTTTTAAAATATTGTAAATATGTATGAAATGCCGAATAATTATTATTATTATTAATGTCTCCAAATTCCATTAATAAAAGACTAAAATCAAGATGTTTAGTTCAAATAAGAATTACTTTCTCCTTCAAAGGCAAAATCAAAAAGGGGTTGAATTTTTTTTTTTTCTATATCTGCTATTTTCCATTAGATTTAATTACATGCCTGTTGTGGTATTAGCCAAAGGAGTAGTTGTTTTCCAGAAGGAAACTGTCGCTCGTGTGTACAGTACTTGACATGATTGAGATGGCAAGTCAGAATTAGACACTTGCAAATTGGATCGAAATTTCCCTTTAGATTTGTTTATCATTATGTTTAAATACTAAATATATACAGTAATACCCCGACTTACGCTACTCCGTTTTACGCGAATTCGGAGATACGCGGAATTTCTTTTCGATCACCGCGCGCATCGGCTTCCCTACTCTGCCCTGTCAGTGTTAAGTTGTTCGTTGTTCCGCGTGGAATTAGTTTACGTACGCAGTGCACATTATTGATTTATCTTTAATTATCTCATCTCTCAATCTTTGAATTCAAGCATTATTCGTAAACGTCACGGTATTATAGCTCAGGTGGAAGCAATGTTACAATTATGGTGTGATAATCAAGTAAGACTTAAAATTGTTCTGTTGACCAAAACACATGCTTTCAAGCGAAGCAGATTTTTGAGAGACTAAAAGAAGAAGCTGGGGAGGCGGCCAAAAATGAAGAGTTTAAAGCTAGTAACTGCTAGTTTAGCCGATTTAAAAACCGTTGTAATTGGCATAGCATCGCAGAAAGTGGAGAGGCGGCAAGTGCTGACAAAGAAGCAGCTTCTCTTTATCCTGAATAAAACTCAAGAAAATGACTGAAGATGGTGGCTACTCCAGCTAAACCATTTTCAATGTAGGCGAAACTGGTCTTTTTTTGGAAGAAAATACCTAAAAGAACTTTTATTGCGCGTGAAGAGAAACACTTTCCAGGTTTTAAAGCCGCCAAAGATCGATTGACTATGATAGTCGGTGCGAATGCAGCTGGTGATTGTAAATTGAAACCTCTCTTAGTTTATCGCTCAGAAAATCCAAGAGCCTTAAAAAACAAATCTGAAGCTGGTTTGTCTGTCATTTGGAAATCTAATGCGAAAGCTTGGGTGACAACTTCTATTTTTAAAGACTGGTTTGGTCATCATTTTATTCCTGAAGTCGAACGTTATTGCCAATTGAAAGAAATTCCATTTAAGGTGATGCTACTAATATACAACGCACCCGGTCGTCCTCATACAACTCTAATTAATTACGATTCACGGGTGGAAGTTCTATTTTTGCCACCAAACACTACCAGTTTGCTTCAACCAGTGGACCAGGGAGTCATTAAAACATTTAACGCTTACTACACAAGGCGATCATTTGCACATCTAAATGAAGCTATGTGACAAAATAATGAGCTTTCTGTCAAAGACTTTTGGAATCAATTCATTGTTTAAGATGCTATAAGAATGATTGGACAATCTTGGAATGACATTTCACAAAAAAACTTTAAATGGCGTCTGGAAAAAGATGTGTCCATTTTTTTCACCACAGAATCCCAAAGAGAATCAGCCTCAGATCCTGAACAAATCGATGGTATAATTAAAGAAGTGGTCGATATTGCCAAACAATTAAATTTAGAGGTGGATGATGATAACATCCAAGAATTGCTGCATTCACACAATCAAGAGCTAACAATTGACGAGTTTATAGAAATGGCGTGAACATGATCAAGACATTAAACAAACCGATTCGTTAGACCCAGTTGAATCGGAAAATCAAATGACGATTTCAGACTTAACAGAAGGCCTCAGTACAATTGAAAAGGGGTTAAAATTTTAGAAAAAATAGATTCCAATTAAGAGCGCGTTTCTACTACAAAACGGGAAGAAGAAAAACTCGTCCGACGACATTGTTAGCCTTCGACATCAAAATAACTTCGGTTTACGTTGTTTTATACATAGTAATGTAAATTGTTTTTATTATCTAACATTTTATAAAACATGTTTCTTCTAAATTATTGTTTTCTTTAGACTCTGCTCCCGATTACTCAAACTTTATACGTATTTTTAGGCCAAAGTTAAACCCCGACTTAGAAGCCTTGGTTTTTTTTAACATTCCGTCGCGGTGAGCGGACAGTCCGTCGACCGTCGCGTTTTGACGATTTTATTCAACCAGAGTATTTAAAGCCTTGGTTTCTTTGAACACTTCGTCGCGGTGAGCGGACAGTCCGTCAACCGTCGCGTTTTGACGATTTTATCCAACCAGAGTATTTAAATGGAAATGGTTTTCATGAATCCGCTTAGCTGAGCAGGACGGCGTCATGCCGCTGATTTGTCGCGAAGAGTCAGTTGATATCTGTTGAGTTTAGCCTTGGTTTCTTTGAACACTCCGTCGCGGTGAGCGGACAGTCCGTCGACCGCTGAGAACAGCAATTTTCGACCGAGGTGGTTTGTTAAAAAATATAGAAAATGATACTTTCTCTATGTCTGTACGTGCTGTTTATGTATTATGAATGTAAAAGAAAGATACTAAAATGGATGCAAATAAATTGTTTGCGTTGTTATTATTGTTGGAAGAGGAAGAACAAAGGGAACTGGCAATTGCAACCGTCAAAGTTTCCAATAAGCCAGTGGATGAGTTGTTTTTGTGTCGCGATACAGAAGGTACCTTTAATATCACTGTGCAGCGGAGGCTTTTTGGAAATGAAACCAAATTTAGGGAGTATTTTAGATTTTCTACAGATCTTTTTGTATTCGTGTTGAGTTTCATAAAGGACCTAATTTCCAATAAACCTAAAAATAAAGTCATGATGTCATCTGTATGTGTGAAGTTGTCACTCATTGTTTTAAAATTAATAACAATATAGTCTCCGCACACGCCGACGATTCCGCTGATATCAAACTCAACAAATATCAACCGACTCTTCGCGACAAATCAGCGGCATGACGCCGTCCTGCTCAGCTAAGCGGATTCAAGAAAACCATTCCCATTTAAATACTCTGGTTGGATAAAATCGTCAAAACGCGACGATTGACGGACTGTCCACTCACCGCGACGTAGTGTTCAAAGAAACCAAGGCTTTTGATATCAGCGGAATCGTCGGCGTGTGCGGAGACTATATTGTTATTAATTTTAAAACAATGAGTGACAAATTCACACATACACATGACATCATGACTTTATTTTTAGGTTTCTTGGAAATTATGTCCTTTATAAAACTCAACACGAATTCAAAAAGATCTGTAGATAGTCTAAAATACTCCCAAAATTTGGTTTCATTTCCAAAAAGCCTCCGCTGCACAGTGATATTAAAGGCACCTTCTGTATCGCGACATAAAAACAACTCATCCACTGGCTTATTGGAAACTTTGACGGTTGCAATTGCCAGTTCCTCTTGTTCTTCCTCTTCCAACAATAATAACAACGCAAACAATTTATTTGCATCCATTTTAGTACCTTTCGTTTACATTCATAATACATAAATAGCACGTACAGACATAGAGAAAGTATCATTTTCTATATTTTTTAACAAACCACCTCGGGCGAAAATTGCTGTCTTTAAAGGTCGACGGACTATCCGCTCACCGCAACGAAGTGTTCAAAGAAACCAAGGCTTAAATGGGAACGGTTTTCTTGAATCCGCTTAGCTGAGCAGGACTGCGTCATGCCGCTGATTTGTCGTGACTAGTCGGTTCATATCTGTTGAGTTTGATATCAGCGGAATCGTCGACGCGTGCGGAGACAGTTTGTGAATTCAAAAAATTTATTTGTTATTATGTTTAAAACAATGAGTGACAAAGTCACATATACATATGCCTCTTTGACTTTATTTGTAGGTTTTCTGGAAATTTCTTTCTTTATAAAATTCAACATGAATTCAAAAAGATCTGTAGAAAGTTTAAAATACTCCCAAAATTTGGTTTGATTTCCAAAAAGCCTCCGCTGCACAGAGATATTAAAGGCACCTTCTGTATCGCGATACAAAAACAACTTATCCACTGGCGTATTGAAAACTTTGACGGTCGCAATTGCCAGTTGCTCTTCCAACAATAATAACACAACCAATTTATTTGAATCCATTTTAGTACCTTTCGTTTCTACTCATAATACATAAACATCACATACAGACATAAAAAAGTCTAATTTTCTATATTTAAACAAACCACCTCGGGCGAAAATCGCTGTCATCGGCGGTCGACGGACTGTCCGCTCACCGCGACGGAGTGTTCAAAGAAACCAAGGCTTACGCGAATTCGACTTGGTCCCACCTATCGCGTAAGTCAAGGGTGTTACTGTATAAGGGCAACATTACACTTCACTCACTGCAAGCTGCGTCTATCCTTCTCAGGCTGCTCTCTTTCTATTTTCTGTACATTTCACTTGCAATCTCAAATTTTTTGTACTGTATGAGATATTGGCTTTGAGTTATTTTTATTTAATTTCATATCGGAAACTTTAATTATCAGTTAAAAATTCCAAATGATTCTGAAAATTCATTGTTTATGTTTTTTGTAGGTGTTGTAGAATCTGCGCAGGTGGTACAAGCGTGGAGCGAGCTGACTGAACTTCTGCAACAACTTCAGCAAAAAGTTGAAGCAGCAGCCAACACCATCCGCTGCAGTTCTTGCGGTCTGAGGCACAAGCGCGTTAAAGTTGACAGACCAAGTTACGCAGCGCGTAACTGCAACATGTGCAAAATTCACCATTCGGCGCGAGAAGGTAACACTTTATATAAAACCAAATATTTAATGAATCTCATATTCTTCCCTTAATATTACAGTTATTCAATAAGATTTTTAGTTTAAAAGTATGTTATGTTGAATGTGCCTCTTTCCGAACTTAGTTATTATTGTTTTCACAATACGGTTTAAAAAAAACAATTCTTGGATTATAAACTCCATGGAGACTACACAAGGAGCACGCACTCAAGTGTGGCATTTGCCAGAGTATGTCCGCGCTTTTTCGTATAAATAAAGCTTTCTTTTTTCAACACTAGCGTCGCTAATTTTTCTTTTGTACCAGTGTGAATATAGAGGATTAAACAAATGTGAAGTTAGCGTGAAAATAAAGTAACGGATTATTTAATTAACGTAAACACGTGTCAAATGTTTTTAAATTAAATAAATATAATTAGAGTTATAATTAATTAATTAATAATTATTTAGAATTATTTATTTTATTTCAAACTACCGCCTCATTCTCTTATGCCATTTTGGTACTTATGGAACACTAGCGCCATCTTAAAATACTCTGTTTAACACAGTACGCTTGTTATACATGAAGTGCGTGCTCCTTATGTAGTCGCCATGATAAACTCATTCAAGTTTTGCTGTTCACATTCTTTATTTTTGATATTTAGCGCCTTTATTTTCGATGGCAATTGGCAAACTAGAGATTTCTTCTGCTTAATTTGCCTCTTTGTACTGTGTTATGCAGTTATATTACATATCTCTATTATGTTGGTTATTCAAACAAAAAGAAGAATATTCTTCTCTATTTGGCCTCTATATGTATAGTTACTCAAGCCATAATGTAAAGGCTTGCGGCTTATTGGGAAAATAATCCAGGGCCTAAGAAATAGAAGACATCTGTCAAAATGTTAACCTATTTTCATTTGTCAACTTAAAAACATTTGTAGATGTTTATTTTTAAAACTTATTTATTATATTTACAAATTTAAAACGCATATTGGGTTTATTTTCTAATATGGCTAAGCATCATCCTGATTTGATTTTCTGCCGAAAACAACCTGGAGTAGCTATAGGTCGTTTATGTGAAAAAGATGATGGGAAATGTGTTATTTGTGACTCTTATGTGAGACCCTGTACTCTAGTAAGAATATGTGACGAATGCAACTATGGATCTTATCAAGGCAGATGCGTTATTTGCGGAGGTCCAGGCGTTTCTGATGCTTACTATTGTAAATCATGTACAATACAAGAAAAAGACAGAGATGGGTGTCCGAAGATTGTAAATCTTGGTAGTTCTAAGACTGATTTGTTCTACGAAAGAAAGAAGTTCGGTTTTAAGAAACGTTAATTTTTACTTTCTGTTAAAATATTTTAAAGAGATTTTTAAAACTGTAAATTGTTTTTATATTTAAAATAAAATAAATTTTAATAAGGTCTAATTTGAATTTATTTGGCCAAAGCAACATGATTTGAAAAAAAGTTGTTTTTGATATATCATTAGAAGTACCAAATATAAAGTGACCATCTGTCCTGATTTAGGCAGGACATTCTCGATTTTAAAGCAATAGTTCTGACAATTTAACATGTGTCCTGATATTGTCGGATAAAAAATCTATAAATATTATGTGGCAACATTGTTTTATTTATCACCACATCGGCGATGCATGTCGGGTTTCAAATTTTCCAACGGAAAGAGATCAGCAGTTTTTTCTCCATGTTTTCAATTTTTCCCGCTTTCTTCCTTTTAAAATATGGTCACTTTAACCAAAGAGTTCTATTCAAGTACCATAACATACAATAAAGTTACCCTTTCAAAATTTAATTGTTTAATAAAACTGAGAAATGTACAAACATCTCTTTCATTCTGTACTCAAATAATTATTAAAAAATTTCTGTAACTTGAACAGCATTTGTTATGTACTTAACAGTCTGATCCAGATATTATGTTTGTACTGACTGGTGATCTTAACTGTAACAGGGCTATAGTTATTTCTTGGCGACAGGTTTCTTTTTTGAAAATTGGTGTTATTTTCCCAAATTTCAATATATCTGGAAAAAACCCGTAGCAAAAGAAAGAAAAACAAGTGGATTTAGGAGTGCTACCAAAGCTCTTTTTCGGTACCTCATCAAATCCTGACGAAAAATTATTTTTAATTTGCCCTTAAGTAACTCTAACATTTCATGTTCATTACCCAGACAGCACACCAAATCCTTTGGATATCTACTGAACATCCCAATATCCACTGAATGTCCAGTCTATGGCAGATATATATATATTTTATATCCATGAGATGTAATTTATAGACATGCAAATGTCCATAAATAATAGTAATTATATAGCAAATTATTAAAACATTACGCCATTGTGGCTAATAGTACCGTTCAGATATTTAAAATTAATTTTTTTAAGGTGTATTCAATATCCCATGAACATCCACTAAATATATCAAAGTCTAGGCGCGAACGCAAACCATCGTGGATATCCACTAGATGTTATTTGATTCTGCTTACTAAGTATAGATGGCGATACCACTATCGCATCTACTCATGCTCGACCCGCCGTAATAGAGTTCGATCGAAATTTTTGTCCTACATACTCCATTAGAGACTGGAGTCGAGAATTTCTATTTATTGCTGAAGAGTCCTAATAAGGATGACTTTCTCCTTAGTGGGCAAAATCAAAGGCAGAGTGTTGAAAATATTTTTTATCTCTGCTATTTTCTTTCGACGTTATTCAATAACCATTGGTTACTTATGAACCTCTACTAAAGATACCCATAAAATATTTGTTGAATATCCGAATATCTTCTATATCCTGGGATAGTGTTGTGAATATCCGTATCTTTTTAGTATTCGGATAATACGTATTCGGAACCAAGAGATATTCGGATTCATCATCCGGATACGTATCCATATGTGTGAAATCATAATACGCAACCGTAAATACACCGCGACCTTGGGAATCGGAATCGGGCAGTGTTGTCAACCCTAGCAGAATTTATGTTTGAGAGTGAAGTAACAAAATAAATCTCAAATATTTTGTTTTTTATCATAATATCAGAAACAAAATTTCTCATTTATATTTATATAACTTCATGTTACCTTTAAAATATGCAGTGCATGCCAACTAACCGATTATGAATTGCAACAACGCTAGACGATTCCGAATTCTGATTTCGTATCCATAGTTCGTATCGGCTGCCACCCGCAAAACCCGAATCGGCTCTGTCATAACAGAACTTGTAGCAGTCGATTCGTGTATTACGATTTTGTTTCTGTTCTTTTTGATACCGAATTCGTATTCGAATTTACACTATTGATTCCGGAATATCCGGATCCTTTTAATATTCGGATTCAACGGATTTTTGTATACGTATTCTTACATCACTATCCTGGGATATAGACGGACATTTGGTTGGATATCCATATTGGATATATTGAATATCCACAAAATATATTCTGTGGATATCTGGGATTTCTTGCATTTTCTGGAAGATACTCATTAGATATTTTGCTGAATATCCATTAGGATATCTTCTATATTCTGGATATAGACGGACATTTGGATATCCATATTAGATCCACGGAATATTTCTGATATCCTGTAGATATATTGGATATCCACAAAAGATATTCTGTGGATATCTCTGGGATTTCGTGTGTTGTCTGGGTATAAGAAAAATGAATTGTATGGCGAAATTATAATTTTCATTTATTATAATCTCGTAAATCAGGGTCAATTCCTTCAACTATAGACCTAGGAAAACTATAAAGATATAATTGAATCGGTAAGTTCGAAAACTGTACATGTCCAAAATTAACCTTCCGAGAAAAACAATAAAAACCATTTAACGAGTCACGAATATGAACGGTTTTTTTTGCCTAATTTCACGGGTGTAATCAGCTGTACTACGTTAACGAACAGGTATATAGTGCGGTTTTTCAGTTCAATCGATGAAGAAACAAATTTTAAACAAAATGGCTATCTTACTTTAAAATGTCATATTTTCGACTGGTACAGTTTTCGAACTGACCGAGCAGGGTTTTCAATCAAAGTATTTTCATGTAGCAAAGATATTTTGGGTCTGTTGTTAACCGATTTTTGACAATTGGACTACTACTTACCAGAGTTTTGGAATCATTTTCAGAATTGGAAATTTTATTTTGATGAAATTGTTTTTGTGTGTCTTTTACCAATTTTTTATGAATACTCTTGTTTTCCCTACGATAGTACAAGGTATAACCAGTTTCTAGGGTTGCCAATATTATGTTGATGCTAATGCAATAAAAAATAATTTAGTTGTGAAAGAAAAACATGAGTTTAATAACAATACCCAATAACACAATATAAAAATGAATATTTATATTGAAATAAATTTTATATGTGATCGATTTTGATAAAATGGATTTTATTGGGGATTGATTTTGGTAAAATTTATTTTGGGAATTGATTTTTGTATATCATTATCTCACTACAATTTATTATACTGTGCTCTCTCATTATGAGTGACATAAATAGGACAACTATCTCTGTGACATATTAAGAATTTTAATGTAAACATGGATCCTGAAGAGTGATCACCAGACCTGGAGTTTCCATGTCAAAATGACGATGTTAGCAATCCTATCAGTTTCAGTATTTATTTGTAAAAAAAACAACTTTAGATGCATGCGTTTTTTATTTTTTTTTTTTTTCATTTTGTCTTCATTTGTGTCTTCCATTTCAGTTGAACAAATTTCCCATATTATACTTTATCATTATTCATAAATTATATATTTTCTCATCATAAAATATTACAGTAAAACTCATTATGATTCCAACGGGGGGAGGGGGGTATGCGTGATTTGAGGTTAAATAAAGGTGAAGCAAAGAAATATCCTTTGAATCTATAATATGTATATTATAGTACTTATTATTCTTTATTAATCTTTTCAGGTGATATTTGGGCCGAGGCCAAAGTCATGGGCTTCCTGTGGCATTATTATGCATGCATGGAAGGGGCAGTATATGACATAACTGAATGGGCTGGCTGTCAAAAGGATAATCTTAAGCACCTTCGACCTGATTCTCACCATGTACAATATAGGTAAATAAGATTTTTACTTCCTGATGTAACAGCCATTTTTATTTTTAATGTTAGCCAAAACAGTACCTACCTATATATTTCTTTAAATTTTAGGATAGCGCTTGGAAAACAGAACCAGCCGAGAAGGCATACACCCGCTGCTCAGACCGATAGACCTGATTTGGAAAATCTGTTAAATACTCTCTATGGACAAAATGATGGGACTCAAAGTACCCGTCGTAGGAATAAGAAAAGCAACAAATAAAACGCTCCAATATATATTAGGATATTTTCTTTTTTTGCAAGAAAAATGCTAAATAAAACGCTTTAAGAATAAACATGTTTTAAGAACACACCTGTTTTTATTTAAATTTTTTTATTATCATTACCTAACATATGCATTTTTTAACTACCTATTCCAAAGCACCATCTAAAAAGCACAAACTAGGTATATTTTCTATAGCAGTCTCTACATCTCTTTTTAATAAAGTTTTTCTTTTGCCAGTTCCAATATTTTTTACAGCTTCAACAGCCAAAAATTCAATAAACATTTCCTAAAAAAAAGTTTAATATTAATAATGTGATTCATAAGTTTTTTACTATTTAATTTTCAAGTTTAACCTAACTTTTTATCTCATTTTATTTTTGAAAAATTATCTTACCGTGACTTTAGTTACTAGAAAAAGAGAATCCTGCGATATCATTAAACAATCTGGACTTAATTTCATCATATTCTTAACTCTTGCTAATGGTAAACGTAACATTCTTTTTGTTGGTACTTCCAATTCTGTATCGTTCACATTAGAAAATTCAGCAACGCTACTAGTCGAAACCAGTCCATCAGTTTCTTCTACAACATCCATTTTTAAAAATCGTTAATTTTGTATATAGATGAAGTGAACACAAGACAGGTTTTATAAATTGTAAAATTCCGCCAAAAAATTCGACTAAAAAAAAACAAACACTATCTGTCCAACATTGGTGTAGGCAGGTAAAAAAATTACATAAAAAAGAAGATAAATAATATTCTTCTTTGTCGAATAACAGACTGTAACTTTGATACAAAAAAGTAAATTTTCTTTATTTATTGGCCTCTTTTAATCTAGTCTTTGTATATAGAAGGTTAAAACTTTATAAAACACAAGGACAAGGCATAATACAAATTTATTGTGGTTATGTAGATGTCAAATTTATACATAACCAAAATTAATACAATAAACAAAAACATAATTTTCCTCCGTCAAGGAAGATAGCAAGATATAATTTATGGTAGTTCCCGTTAAAGGATAAATAAGCTGATAATTCAAATTAAACTTACAATATGGCTAAGCATCATCCCGATTTGATTTTCTGCAGAAAACAACCTGGCGTAGCTATCGGTCGTTTATGTGAAAAATGTGATGGTAAATGTGTTATTTGTGATTCTTACGTGAGGCCCTGTACATTAGTAAGAATATGCGATGAGTGCAACTATGGTTCTTACCAGGGCAGGTGCGTTATTTGTGGAGGACCAGGAGTCTCTGACGCCTACTATTGTAAAGAGTGTACAATACAAGAAAAAGACAGGGATGGGTGTCCTAAGATTGTAAATCTTGGTAGCTCTAAGACTGATTTGTTCTATGAAAGAAAGAAGTATGGTTTTAAGAGACGTTAGTATATAGCTTGTTTAGATTGATTTTTGTAATTATATTTATGTAATAAATTGTAAGAAATACGTTTTTCATTTTTTTTCAACAATAAATAAAATCTTAATTACAGATGGCATATAGTGCATCTACTGATTTTCAGCTCAATCAGATACCATGAATTTTTCTCAAAAAAATCGAAGGGAGCCTTCTCATATATTTTTGACTAAACTTTTATTACCTCCGATATAATTCTTGTGTAAAGCATAATGTCGGAGTGGTGTCTGTTACTCAATATCTCTTAAATTCAAAAGTTGGATAAAGTGGCTCTGTGTTGGACAAAATGTTGTATAAGGATAGACACATGTGGATGTAGAAACAACTGTAGGTTTGCTAGTTGTCGAGAAACAACATTGTACTTTTTAACAATTTAAGCTAGACAGAAACATACCTCATTTTAATTGTTGTTGATCTGCAGTTTTACAGGCTCAATCAAGTTGTTCAGATTTGGTTGAAACATATTCAGATAATAGAAGATATTTTTAATTGTAGATGGCATACTGTGCATCTGCCAATTTTCAGCTCAATCAGATACCTTGAATTTTTCGCAAAAAAATCAAATGGTACACATTCAAATATTTTTGTATCCGCTTGCGCTGAAACTTGACACAGATAGTGCATATGTAAAGCATAATGTCAGAGTAGTGTCTGTTAATATCTTTTATCATTTAAAAGTTGGAAAAGGCTTATTTGAATTAGATAAACAGGGATATTGATATAAGGAAGATATGTGTTTGTAGAAACTCAACTGTAGTTTTCTAGGATTGCTAGTTGTCCAGAAAAAACATTGTACTTTTTAACAATTTAAGATACACAGAAACGGACCTCGTTTTAATTGTTATAGATTGCAGTTTTTAGGCTCAATCAAGTTTTTTAGATTTGATCAAAACAAATACCAGATATTAAAAGAGTCATGCATCTGCATAAATTCATCTGCAGTTAACCTGGTTTGTTATTCATGTAGAAAGTACACTCTAATGAAATCTATCTAATACCAGTTAGATCTTTATTGACTTGACGTGTCTTAAAGGAAATATTAAATATCGAAAATGGAATTAAAAAAAAGTGGTTTAACAAATATTTCCAGCAGATTTAAAAATGGGGGTAGTAACACCAATCTTCAAAAAAGGAAACCAAAAATTACTTGAAAATTATAGGCCAATTACTGTTCCTACTGTATTTTGTAAGGTTTTCGAGAATTGTGTATACAAATACATGTCGTATTTATTTAAATATAATATCAAATAACCAACATGGTTTTCTTCCAGATAGGTCAACTGACAGTGCCACTATGGACTTTTTCAATTACATATATGGTTAGGTGGATAAAAAGAGATTTGTGGGGGTGCTTTTTTTTGACCTCTCCAAAGCTTTTGACTGTATTGATCTGAATATAATTGAAAATAAATTATTGCCTTTGGGTTTCAGAGGGGATTTTCTAACGTGGCTATCTTCATATCTCAACATGAGGAAAATTTGTGTTAACATTGAAGACTACCGATCTACATTTAAAGATATTGATCGTGGTGTCCCTCAGGGGTCAATTCTAGGCCCACTAATTTTCTTGTTATATATAAATGATCTTTCATCACAGATAAAAGCAGATTATGCCTAGGATTTTATCTGTAAAAAGTTACTATACAATCCTACAGCTAAAAAATATTTTCAATACTAATCAACTTCTTCAGGTATACTATGCTCTTGTTTATTCTTATCTCTCTCATAACGTTATCCTGTGGGGAAAATGTGCAAATGCTTTAAGAGTTTTTATTAATCAAAAAAGAATTATTAGACTAATTTTCAATTTAGAAACAAGAACTACATGTAGGGATCATTTTAAAAAATATAATATACTCACATTCCCAGCCATATTCATTTTTAAAACCATTCTGTATGTTAAAAAAAATAATTCATTTTCTAAAAATAAAGGTAATTATAATTACCCCCACTCGAAACAATGAAGCAATTCGTATTCCAAAACATTCATCAGCTCTATTTGAACTCAGTCCACACTACTCTGGACCTAATCTTTTTATTCATCTTCCATCCTCGATTAAAACAAACATCTCCTATAATATTTTTAAAACATAATTTAAAAACTATTTAATAGATAATTGTATGTACAGTATAGATGAGTACCTACCTCAATAATGCTATGTTGTTTATACCTGATTTATTTTAGTTTTATTTATATACGTGACTTATCTATCATTTATCATGTTATTAGGATCTGGCCCAAAAAGTTTATTTTATTCTACTCTATAATTATTATTTATGACTCATCGTTTGATAGATATAAATAAAACTCCCAAAGCACATTCATATAATTTTTATTAACAAATAGAAAAAATATTTATAGAAATATATAATGTATTGGTATGTACAAATTTGTTACAAAGCTATAGTTTAGAATATATATTTTCGTCTTCAAAATATATAAATACAGACTTTTGATTCATATAAGAAGTAATTTAGCAATTATTGTAACCATAACAACTGTCATAAATATCAGTATTAATTCATTAAAATTTTAGTAGTTCACAATGGGAAATTCTCTTTATTCTAATTTTATTTCAGAAATTGAGAAATATTTTTTATATAAATTAAAGTAAAGTAAAAGTTGGAAAGGCTTTTGGTAGGCAGAGAGGGGGTAAACGTTAAACCACGTCGGACGGCTTCGAGAATTTCGCAGTAATGTTTACCTGCCAGTGTCGTTTCATAGAATAAGTAATTTTAAATTGTTATCGGCGGAACCGGACAATCGCATGTATTTATGGACTAAAAATAATTATTAAACATGTATTATAATATTCAAATCATAATTTTACAAAATTTCAACAGCTATTTACAATTTATTAAACTATTTGTTCGAAATTGTTATTAACATCTATAAAATAATTTTGTACGCCAATGTATCGCGTGTACTTCGGTGATATCCGCGGCAAACCTGTCAATTTATGTGTATAAAGTGGAAGAACTGGCAAAAGCCTTTCCAACTTTTACTTCTGTTCTAATTCACATCCAATTTCGAGAAATAGCATACAAATACTTTAGTCGTGGTTAATAAACTTTAAAAAATGTAATATTTATTAGAAATGTGGCAACGTTGCCTTCTTACTAGAGCCCGTGAAGGGTCTAACGCTAATAATTAAAAAACTGTGTAATTTCTAGGCACATTGGCTTTCCAGACTTATTATTGGATTATAATCATTAAATAGTAATTATACGAAAAGGGTTTAATAAAAAATAGTACCTTAAAAATTGGCTCCCATGTGTAACACAGGTGATACATAATTTGACTGTCTTCATAAAAGAAACTCTGAAATTATCTCTTGTGTACCAAGTAGTTTTAAATATTTAGTAGTTGGCGGTATAGACATATTTTTTTATTAAAATAAATGTCACACAACAGTAGCTATACTTAATTCAACCCAAACTAAATTACGATTTTTACATATTTATGTATATCGGTGATGCTCACTTTATCAATAGGTTACTTAGTTCCTTCCAATACTGATTTTTTAACTGACTGCAATAAGCAATGCTTAATATTACCAATGATACCCACAGTACAGAAGGTACCGGACGAAACGTATCACCGGTGACATACGGTACTACAGAACAGAATCCTAAAATTTGGGATTAGGAGCCAACGTGTTAATCATTCTAAAAAGTTTTTTTAAGAATATAGACTGTCAGTATATTTAATTTCTTGGTTGCTGTTGCCTTGCGAGACAAGATATATGACAAAAAAACTCATTTGTACCAAACTGTTTAAATTCAACGGGTACTTCTCAGGAAAAATATTTATATTTGTGCCCAGAGACTCGAATGTGACAAAAATTGTGGTTTTAGGCAGTGTTGTAAAAATATCAAAACATTGTGCAGATCATAACATCAGAATACGTACAACTAATACAAGTGCAATGTTCATGAGAGTGATCTGAACTATTCTAAAATCCTTTTATCATGACTGGAAGAAATGCATGTAAGCGATTTTGAAAGTTTAATATTTGAATGAAACGCATTATATCTGTAAGAAACAAACTTACACCATTGCCACATACCAAAGTAGCAAAAAAACCAATTTAAAGTTTAAATACCCATACTTCTTTCTCACTTTTAACTAGTAATTACATTTAGGAGAAAAATTGTAATTCGTTTCATAGGAGAATTCCCCATTAACTTGTCTTCTTTGGAGTTTTTTAGCATTATGTATTTTCACCATTTACTTCTTATTTTCTAACCATTTCTAGAACATTTTGTATATTTTAAAATTCACAAATATAAGGCACTAATTGTATTTGAACATTTCTGTAAATCAGGAAGCAGCATATAAGCGACTGAATACAGTGTTTATCATATATTTCCTACCATAAATTGGAAGAACAAATATTTTTAAATATCTTAAAAAATAAATTTTGGAATGAAACCGTTTCTATATTTTTATATAAAAAGATTGATATATAAATACAAAAAAAAAAAAAATTGTTTTTCAACATCGGAGCTGCTCAAAAAAATGGAAGATCGTTTTTTTACAACTTTTTAAATACTATCTCAGTAAAATTATTAAAAAAATAATAAATTCTCCATATTTACACAAAACAAAAATAAGATATTTACAAAATAAAACGACAATAATTTTTTGGAATATTTCAATTACTTTCGACCAAAATACCAAAATAAAATAGTTGCTTCAAACGTAAATTCTATCACAACATTTAAGTTTTTTTTTAGACTCGTCCAGAAAGGAAAAGTCTTAAATCTCAAATACAATCTCTTACAACTTTTTCCATCATAAATTTTATACTATTTCTTTTGTAAGAATGGTAAAAAATAATCCAAGCGTACACATTTATGTATGTGAAACGTCTAAAAAGAGTTACAAAAATATTATAGAATCGTAAATACTTATATTAATTTACAAAAAAATCTCAGCAGACTCGAGACAGCTAGCTGTGAAAAATATCTTTGGTCATTCTGAATCGAGGGTGTTGCCATTTATCTGTGACGTTTCATTAGAAATGGCAATATAAATCGGCTATTCAAGCCTGGTTAAAGTTTATGCGAGGTAAATAAGCCAAAAACAACCACTAAAAATGTTAAAAGTCATTTTCTCAACTATTCAATTAGTTATTAAATTTTACCAGCCTTGTCTTTGAGGTCTATTCTGTATCGATTTATTTATATTTTAACAGCAGTTAACATATTGACGGCCGTTTAAATAGCTCTAATTTTTATAGGGATGTTAAAATGCACCGTTAACCCTATATTGCATACAATTGCCCACAAGCAACATCCACATCTAAAATTATTAAATAAGTTTCACATGCGATACACTTTTCGTAGTTGCATACTGTTGATTGTAGGAAACATTTGAATCTGTTGACGTAAGAACGCTGCGCACTACAACTTCGCTTGATATCTGTATAAATATATTTAGTGACGAGTCTCGTAGCGTGAATGTTAGGATTCTTATCGGAGTAGGTATACGTCATTATTTCGAGAACAAAATATTTCAAATATAAATTTGTAGTATCTAGTGCATACAACAGACTGTAAGTTACGTTTTTTCTCTTTTTAAAAAAAAAAATAAGAAATACTTTCATAGATATCAAAGTGTAAAGTTGCTTTGAATTAACTTTGTGCATTACCGTGATGGAATTTCCTACTATTAGCGCCAAAACTTTTTATGGCAGTAAATCACAAAAGAATAGAATTATTCGAGAACTTCCAGATGAATCTAATGATAGTGAGCTGGGCGATGGGGATTATGATATAGATGATCCTACATTTGAACCAATCTCGGATGATGTAAGTTTTTTTACTGTAATACGTTTTGTTTTCACTACAGTTTGTGTTGATTTTAGGAAAGCGCAGGGTGTGATTATGTTGTTGAAGCCCAAGAAAATATATATTCAGATGATGAAAATAATGAGTCGGAAAGTCAAGAAGTGCAAGAACAGGGTAATGAGTCAGCCACTCCTTCAAATAATAAGAAAAAGTTGAAGAAAAGGAAATTAGAATGGACACAAAATAAAACAAAAAATGCATACCCTATCCCTGTTTGGAAAGGAGCTCTTCCTATGTTCACACAAGTTCTGACCCCACTGCAATATTTCAAAAAATGTTTGATGACGAACTTTTGAAAATATTGGTAGAACAATCAAATCTTTACTCTGTTCAAAGCAATCCAAATAAACCTCTTGGTGTGAAACAGTATGAGATAGAGCAATTCACAGGGATTGCATGTTTTATGTCGATATATAAATTACCTAAATAAAGAATGTATTGGAATTCAGTTACTAGAATTGATCAAATTGCTGACGTTATGAGTGTCAACAGATGGAAAGTAATAAAACGAAATCTGCACATCAGTGATAACGAAAAAATACCCCCAAGAGGCTCTACAAACTATGACAAATTATATAAAATTAGAAGTCTTATTACCACAATAAATGAGAAGTTTTCCAAAATCCCTATGAGTCCGTTTTTATCGATCGACGAACAAATAGTCCCGTTCAAAGGTAAAAGTAGCCTAAAACAATATAACCCTAAAAAGCCGCGAAAACGGGGTTATAAAATATTTTTGTTAGCAGATGCTTGTGGTCGGATGTATGGATTTGAAGTATACAGCGGAGTTGCGGAACACTCCAATTTGCCTGACATAGGAGCTTCTGGAAATGTCGTGCTCAGGTTAGCACAACTGATACCTCAACACAAAGATTTCAAACTCTGCTTTGATAATTGGTTCAATGGAGTTGAATTACAAATTCAGTTGGATAAAATGGGTATATGCGCTTTAGGCACAGTAAGATCAGACAGAGTAGGTGGATGCAAGTTTACCGACGACATAATCCTAAAAAAATGGGGAAGAGGATCTTTTGAAGAGTACAAAACTAATATAGATGGATGTCAACTATTAGCCGTAAAATGGTTTGACAACAAAGGCGTTACAATTCTTAGTTCATATGCAGGTGCGTATCCTTGTGGAACAAAGAAGCGATGGGATCGAGCATGCAAACAGTATATTGAAATACAGTGCCCTTCTGTAATACAACTGTATAATAAAAGCATAGGTGGTGTTGACCTGCTAGATTCTCTGCTAGCTCTATATAGAATCACAATACGGTCTAAAAAATGGTACCACAGGTTCTTTTTTCATTTTGTAGACTTAGTAGTTGTACAAGCTTGGCTAGTCTATAGAAGAGACTGTGATTCATTGCAAAAAAATAAAAAAGAGCAAATACCTCTTTTGCAATTCAAATCAGAAATTTCTCAGTCTCTGCATGCAGGGTAAAACAGTTACTAGCAAACGAGGTCGTCCGAGTTCAACCAATTCTCTCAGCAATGATTTTCTCGAGAAACAAAAGAAAATATCACTCAACTGCACCTATCCCAAATGAAGAAATAAGAAAGGATCAGCTAGGCCACTTTCCTGTGTTTGATGAAAAAAAGGGAAGGTGTAAGCTTCCAGGATGTAAGGGTATACCAAAAGTAAAATGTGTAAAATGTAAAACTTACTTATGTTTCACAACTTCCAGTAACTGCTTCTATAGATTTCACAATGAATAATAAATCATTTACACTGTATTTATAAGCAAAGTTACTTCTTATATTTGTAATATTGATAAAAAATAAAACGTTCAGAATTACCGTTTATAATTTATTTTTTGCATATTGTTGCCTCAAAGTAACGTTTCAAAATTTTGAAAAATAAAAGTAAAAAAAAATGTTTAGGTGTTCAAAACGTTTTCTTATCACAAAATACATCTGCGAAATTACCATAGTAATTTATAGTAATTTTTCTTGTCGTTTTTGTAAATTCATGCAAAAAGTAAAATTCTGTTTTCATTACATAATTAGAGAAGTTTTGAGTGATTTACTTAAATATGAAAAAAAGTATGAAGTACATAATATTTTAAATGTAAAGCTATTAAATTTAATATTTCTGGGTCGAATTTAGATTACATCATAGGTCAATTAGAGACCTAAGCGACCAGTTTTAATTACCAAATGTGTATTTTCAAATTATTTTTTGTTTGATACCAGAATTATACATGGTATCCCGTAAATATATCGACAAACTTGGACTTGTTTATTAAACAAAAAATATTTATTTACCACCCCTAAAAGTTAGTCGGTATATTTATGGGACACCCTGTAGTACACATTTGGCTAGCTCACATAAATATGACAACCATGGCAAATTTAGTTCACCTTTGAGAATAAGGAATAGTTTTTTTTAAGAGTTGGTTTTCACTTTTAGTATAAAAAATACAGCAGAACGTTAAATGTTCTCCATGGATTTTTAAGGATTAGCAAATTAAAATTGTTATCTTTCCATTATAATGAAACAATTTCGTTAGTTTATCATTGGAATTAGTAATTTTTTAAGCGGCCGTTTTTGAAACAAGAGATTAACTAGCGTTTAAAATATTTTTAACAAAACCGCAAATGTTAAAGGATATTTTACATAATAGACCCCAATGGTTCACCAATTCCTTTGTAAATTGATGAACTGTTTTTGCTTTTAATAACATCGTTAACAATTAATTATACCTCTTAATCAAACAAACTAAAATTTGTTCCTAGAAGGTGTAAAAACCAGAACTTATTAGGTTACTTTTGGGACCCGTTGCCTCAAACTTTAATGTTTTCACCGGCGCGCAAATTAGGTAAAAATAAGAAATAACCTAAATAATACAAAATAAAATAAAGAAAACAAGGACACTTCTTGAACACAAATCTATGAAAGAGAAATCATGGCAACACAAAAGACAACATTAATAAGTGCATTAAAAATGAGATTCAAAATAAACACCAAAAGCAGTGAAAAAATAATGTTACAGATCTACTAATTTGATATCTCAGTTCGTAAAACTATAAGGTGGCCAGAACTTTAATTAAACACTATAGGGATGATTCAGTTAACCATTATACAGTATTGGCCATCGAACATCTTCGAATATCCCTTGGCACAAGTGTGTGTTACAGAAAGCCAGCACTAAGACAAGCAGGAAAGGAACAGTACCAGCGATGCCAGACTATACGGCCTGGCCAACGTTTCAACGCGGTCGGTTCGTATAAATGGCACCATTGATACCATTCATTTTCCGCTCACTTCAATGCCAACTCTCTGTAGCTTTTACAAGCACTTTTTATGTAAAGTATCAGATGCAATTTCCGAGATATTTGGGTATAACTTAAATTGACGATTTTCGTTTTATTCAATAAAATAATAACTTTGCAAATTATTAATTTTTTATTTTCAATTTTCAAATTTTACTTTTTAATTCATCAAAATGTCTCTTGTATAGAACATAAATTTAGTAAAATATGCAAAGTGCAAGTAAAGTAGTTTTATGAAAAAGGCCCCGAGTGTTGAAATTTATAAAAAAATTTAAGCAAATTGAATTTTCTAAATTTCTCTATCGGATGACATCCAGTTAATTTCTAGCTATTTGTTGTAATTCAGTAGTTTAAAATTACATTTTCTGATTGTAGTTATTTATAAAAATTTAATAGTTCACATCTTAGGTCTTTACTTAAATATTTATTGTTAAAAATGGGACAGAATCGTTCTTACAAAAATTCCAAAAGAACCATTCAAAAAAAATGTTCCTAGTAAAAAAAAGTTGAGGGAAGCGTTTTAAAATGTGGCTAAGTCATGTTAAGCAGTATGTGATCTTCAACAAAAGTGCTTAGTAAATTTTTTTTTTCATTCAAAATAAAGGTGTAAATTAAATAAAACGAAAATGGCCAATTTAAATTTCTGAATATCTCGGAAACCGGACTTGATATTTTAATTTTGAAAAGTCAATAAATTCTCCATGAAAATATGCATATTTTTTCTCATTTAACCAAATTTCTATCTATAACGATAAACGAAATCCCTATAGTGTATAATTAAATTTTCGGCACCCTCTATATACCGATATAGTCATGCTAAAGTGCGATTTAAAAACAAGTCGAGAGAGATCTTAGTTCCTATTCTTCACTACCCATTTCTGTTTCATTGATTAACCAAACAAGCTTTACAATTTTTAGTGGCCGTTTTTATTTAACTCATTCAAACTCTACTTACAGTCACAATCTGTTCAATTCGGCGTTAAACACCCTGTATTCACGGCAAAAACTCGTCCCTAAAAAAGTGAGATTATTTATTTTTTGGTCTATCTCGATATGTTCGAAATATACGGGACTACTTAAATCTCAATTGTTTTTAAGCTTTTTTCGGTTCGCCCTGTACATTTCTAAGTTAAGCAGAATGTTTGTCTCGTCTCAGTGTTATCACAATTATGTAATTTCTGTTGGATAACAGAGTGGAGCGATTATTATAATGAAGAAGCAGATGTTAGCAAATTTATCTTTAATATGAGCAATTCTAGACGGAGAAAAGTAAATAAAGTATAAAATGATAAGAAATGTTTCTTATGCAACCTCTATGCAAATAAAATAATATTTATAAGATACCTACTGTGAATTTAACATGGAAATTAATTTTTTTTTGCTAAAAACTGCTTCTAATTAGTTAAAACAGTTTCTCTATAGGCGCAGAATGGAATTCAAGACAATGATATATCTAATTTGATTCCTATTTTAACGTAGAATCCATATTTGATTATTTTAGTTTAAAAAGATTATACATGAGATCAATTATTATTTGTTATTCACTCTTTGGAAGTTTCTAATGTCAATTGTAAAATAGTATTCTGTCAAATGTCAAAATAGTATTGTCAAATGCCAAAATAGTACTGTCAAATGTCATAAATAAAAAAATGTATAATTATAAATAATGACTATTTAACATTATTATTGTATTAAAATATAATAAATATATTAAAAGCTTAATTGTTTATAAAGATGCTTAGTTTTACAAGCAGCATGCCAAAATATTAATTGATACTTTGACAAATATAGCAAAATCTATTGAAAAAGAAAAATAATATATCTTAGCCTCTTTTAGACATCAAATTAGATACACCAGTCCTTCAATTAACACTAATACATACTGAGTCAGTCTTCAATAACTCTATTTTTGTGTTTGAACACAGCCTAACGAACGTAATCGACATTCTCTATATCCGGTTTTCGTTTATTGTAGCATAAGAATCTCCAAATTTCTGTGCAGAATGGTGTCTTTGACCGAATTGAATACGACTTTGATGTTTTCGGTGTCTACGGCTGTAGTGAAATGGTGGTACAGCGGTTTTTTGGGGTCGCGCTTGATGCCGGTGAACATGGCGAGTATGAACGCTTGGACGTCCTGCATCGAGTGCGAGTTGCCTGAGAATTGGGGGAAGTACCAACGGATGTCGGTTTCTGGATTTGCTACCTGTAAAAAAATTACAATTTGAAATACAGTAAAAATTATTCATTATGCATTAGTCCCGAAAATTTGCAAACTGACGTCATCTGTCAATGTTAATGTGTGGAGCTTCACGGTCGAACTTTCGAGAAAATACTTATCTAGAAAGTCTTACCGTCTGTGCCGCGCTATGCTTAGCTAGGAGTTGGAGCGGGACAGAGCCAAGTTTTTTAGGGTGTTTTTAACTGTAACTTAATGTGTTGGAACTGTCACTAATCGGGATAAACAGACACTAAAAGGGACGATTGACGTTAAAAGAATGAATAAACAACCGCGCTATTGTGCGTCCAACATCTACTCCTCCCCGAATGAGGAAATCCCTTGTTTTTAATTGACTTATTCAAGCACCGTTGCCAAGTCCGACACTTCTGTCAGCGGGTTGTATTTTGCGATAAATGACAGCTATTTATGTAAATTATTTTTTTTTCTTATTTTGACTAAATTATTTATGGTTTAGTTTCTTTATTGGTAATATTACACAAAAATAGTGTTTTTACAAGTCAATAGATATAAATAAATATCTTAAAATATTTAAGTGCTAAAAAAGATTATTACATACTTATGATTAGTTAAAAACTAAACATAATGTGTATATGTAAAATTTAAAATAAACGATTAAAAGATGGTTACAGTCACCAAAAACACAATTATAAAAAGTTAAAAAATGAAATTAATATTAAGGATTTTGTTTGATATATGTCAAGACATTTTAAAATAAAAATGCATGGAAATGTAAAATTTTTAGTTTTTTAAAACAATTTTTGCAGCATTCTTGATATTTTAAGCTTCCAATTATTCTTACACAGCGGCGCTGTAGTTTGGCCCGAGGGGTATGTCTCCAATACTGCATAGGACATAATTGAGTAGAACTATCCATGGTATGCAGTTAATAGGGTAGAGGTGGAAACATTTTTAGAGAGATTTCTTATAAGAAAAATGATCTGGAGTAGCTTGGAGCTCAATTTGTCAAACGCCAAAATGTTTATTTTTCTCTTATTTTTTTAATGATACTGGGATTAAACCAAGGAGGATATGTTTTTTTATTATGCACTGAATAATTGGGTACGCAACGATCTAACACATTATACAACTTGCCATAAAAATATGTACAGGCATCATCGGCGCTATAAAAGCTTTCCAAACAAGTCCAGTCAATATTTGATATCATATTATACATAAGTGGAAAATTTGCCTTACGAAAATTATAACAATTTGTATAAGAAGATTCTAGGTTATTTTTGTCGTCAAGTTTTTCCATTAATTCACAATTTACAATTTATGTATTTTTTACTAACCTGACTAATAAAACAACCTTCTGTTATTTTAATTTGCGTAAGAACTAACAATATTGCCCTTCGGGTATTTTTTATTTAGCACTTTTACCCCATTCAGTCTCGTATTCACCCCAAGTAATCGTGAAACCGTGTCAAAATAAACAATTTATGATGAATGGGGTAAAACTTCTTTAACAAAAACTGCTTGCAAGGGCAATAATCATAGTTATACAAACATTTTGAGAGCAATCAAAACACTTATCGACTTGTGTTTCCGATTTTACACCTATTTTTTGTATATCAACCCTTTCGCCGAAACAAAAAAATGCTTGCAATATCATCCTAAGTTCAGAAAAACCGCTTTTAAGCTATATACCGAATTTCGTTGAAAAACACAAATATTCGGAGACGTGGCCGAAATCCCTACACCGAAAGTAGCAAAACCGGACGACAGAAAATGATTACAAAGGATTTTTTTTATTGTTATAGATGTCTAGAAGCAAATTATATAATGGCCTGCAAAAAGCTAAACATCCATCGATAAGTAACTTTACTTTGAATTTGACTGGTCACACCACATAGTACATGTTGTTCACCGCCTCTCCTGTACCCAAATACAAATAGAAAGCAGAAAAACACGATGTGCAACTTTTTGCAATCAGATTAGGGACTATCAAATAAATATGTCGAAATTAATTTCATGTAACAGAAAAAAATTCAAAACTATTTTTTTTATCAAGATGGCTGTGATTTCACATTTTCTGATAATCATCGATTAAAAAAAAAGAAAAGTTTTTTCTATTTTTAAAGATATGGGTAAGTACTCTACTCGTGAGAGCTAAATTCATATTTTTTTGTAGGTCGTACATTTTTAATAATATGAAGTTTATATATTCGGTTTTAGACTATGCGCCAACTTTTATCAAGAACAAAATTTTCTGATAAATCAACAATAATAAATTTTTCATACTTTTCGTGACACACTTGTACATTGTAATGTATAACACAAGGTAATACCAATTTGATGACAACCATATTGCGTAGTTTATTTAAGATTATAAGTTTGAATTGCAAATAAATAAATTAATACTCCATTACTTTATAAATACACCTCGTATCTTGATTTTTTCATTGTGATTTTAAATCAATAGTCTCTATACTGTTTAAACATACAACAACGCGTTTAACATGCTATATTTATCAATAAAGGAATCACAATGGTCTGTTTCTACTATTTAATAGTATTTAACATTTCAATCAATGTTTTTCATAGTCGAGATATCTAAAAAATTCACTAGTCAATGTTGTATTACTAACGAACAAAATCTGTGCAATCAATCAAACAATAATCACCATTTCATTTCGTAGTTTCTTACTCATCTGAATATAAAAAAAATGTACAATATGAAGTGGGTTTTTTTTGTGTAATATAATTATTTTCACATTCCAAAAACTATAACATACCTGGGAATATCCAAAACATTCTATTTTTTAATTATTTTATTATTATAAATGAGAAAAAAGAGAAATTAGACTTTAAATCTAGGAAAATCATTTAAGGGGTATGTATGTTTTTAACATTCCGCTTCTATAATAACTGACAAATTATTGCACAGAATACATCAAGACTAAAGATTTGCTATTTGTTACAGACACAATTTTCAAATAAATTAAAATAAAAATCTTAAAATAAGGTATCAGATTGGAGTCAACAAATAATTACAAAAAATATAAAATAATTAACTTACTTTTCTTTCTAACAAGTCGTACTTGTTCAAAAACAATATAATGGACACGCCACCAAAAATGACGTTATTAACTATCGTATCGAATATATCTCTGGCCTCTTCCAATCGGTTGGTCTTCCTGTCTTCCAGCAATACTTGGTCGAATTCGGAAGATGATACGAGGAAGAGAATGGAAGTCACGGAATCGAAACATTGGAACCATTTTTGCCTTTGTGACCGTTGACCGCCAACGTCCACGAAAAGAAAAGGTATACCTGTGTTAGAAGTTCACAATTAATTTTCCAATCATTAAAAATACATATTAATTTATAGTTCACTCTAGATCGAAGCGAAGTAATTATTGTCATTTAGAAATGAAATTGGTTGTGCAAATTTTATATTAAAAGCTGTGGATTTGTTTAAGACATTGCGTCTGGGAGGATTTCAATTTTATTCTTTAATTTTTCGAACTTATCTCTTTAATAAAGATATTTTTTGATCCGATCCATTTTAGCGCCGAGACAAATACATGAGAGGCAAGTTAGGTCATATTATAGTGAGACAAGTTAGGGCTTAATCAAAAAAGAGCGAGACAAATAATTAACGCGAATCAAAATATTTCAGTATTCTAATTAAAAAAAAAAGAAATAACTAATTTACCTAATCTGTTCGGCCAAGAGCCAACGCGGGTTGCTGTAAATGGCTTTAGGCGCCCAGGTTAGGCAAATTAGTTAAGAATTTTTAATTTTAATTAGATTACTGGCATATTTTGTCACGCGCTAACTTGACTCACTCTAATTTGACCAGGCACTAACTTGTCTCACTATAATTTGACCCGGCGCTAACTTGTCTCTCATATATTATTTTTCTCGCGCTAAAATGGATCGGGTCTATATTTTTACGAGCGTTTTAACAAGGTCATGTAAAAATTTGCTCCTCAGCTCCAATTCAGGAACAAACAAAAAATATACAATAAGTCTCTTGATATTTTTGGACTAAAAATAATTTCTGAGTTTTTCTTTAGTTATTACATTAGATATTACATAACGCAAAAAAATCTCAAATATCTGAATTGTACGGCATCCATATATATACATGTTATTATTGTTTGATCAACAATCAACAAATAAATTTTCAATTTGAACAATTAAATTCACAAAGGGGAAAAGGTACAAACAAATCTTCACTCATCTTATTTTCGAATTCCCTTTTTTAGGAACTATTATACCGGGGTCACGTTAATATCTCATTTATTAACAGACTTCAAAAATAGGAGGAGGTTCTCAATTCGTCGTAATATATTTTTTTTGTTTTTCATGTATATTCAGCGATAATTCTTTACCACTTTGTCTGATTTCAATGTTAAAAAGAGGGTACTTCAAGGGTGGTCCCATGTAAATTTGGTCAAGATATAATAATGGAGTCCATGAAAAAATCATCACTCTTAATTTTTTTATGTATGTTGAGCGATAATTCTTAACTACAGTTTATCAAATTTCTAGAGGCTTTCGACGGCTAGACAGAGAAAGCACTACTGACAGGCATCCCGACGGATTTACGCAATGAAAGTACACTCTGCGCATCAAGTATTTCACTATTTCATTCAGACGTAAATGTCAGATGTAAATTTCGCTAAAACATTTCTTTTATTTTCGTTTGTGTTTTTTGCTCATTACAGTTTAATAGAACCTAAGTATGGAGTTTAATAGCAAATTAAGAGGCCGCGTGATTAACAGTCAATCTCGCGAAATAATAGCCAATGTTATAGAGTTTATGAGAAGAGAAGGAAACTTTAATTCACCTTCAATACCATTTAAAAATGTAAATGATCGTGTTGCTGCAGCCACAGGAGTATCTAAAAACACTGTCGTCCGCATTTCTGGAGAGAAAAAAAGAATCGATAACCGTGAGATATCGGAATTTTCATCACCAAGAAAAACCATTAAAAAACCAAAAACAGTTAATGATATAGATGAAGCTGCACAAGAATCAAATTTTATTTTTTTATTATTAGATAGCTATTTTTGTTTCTGAGTTGTGTTCATTTACAGGCTCAATTTTTTTCCGTTTCTCCTTTTTGATTTTATATGGGTTTCAAGTTGTTTTTGACTTATTTCGACGTAAATCACAACAACACACTTTTTTAATAAAGCAAACCAGTGTTAAGAGGTATATGTACGTGTAAACTACAATTACAAAAAATTGATATGAAACCCATGAAACCACCAACAAAAATGTAAAGCTAGCTTCCGTACTAGAACATGGTGTCATTCGTCGAGATAATTTATCGTTTTGTTTAATAGATCAAGAAATGTAAATATTCCCCTGTTATTTTTTATAAAATTATAAGAGAAATAAATTTTTTTCTAAATAGTATAGTTTATTATTTTGTAGAAAAACAAAATTTCAGAAACAACCGTTATTAATAATAGGTACCATTTTCCTTAATAAGGTAGAAATAAAATATAAACTATTTCCACGATTTACAAAGGCCTACAAAAAAATTATAGGTATTTTCCGCTATCCTATAAAATTTATATTTTCTGACTCAATTTCAAAAGGTTGAAGGAATTCCAAAACACCTTTTATGGCATAATAATTATTTTCAATTCTACATACTATCTTTAGCTGCTTTTAAAAACGTTCAATCAGACCAATTTAATCCCTCAACTATTCCACACTTTTAAAATTTAATTACCTAAAAATATTAAAAACTATTTAAAATAACTTGTTTAGCAGACTGTACAATAGCTATCTTAGTCACACGTAGCGCGTTCCCTGTCTGGGCGTCGAACACCTCTAGAAATTTGATGAACTGTAAGTTGTCTAATGGCTATGATTCTTTTTTTGTTAGAAAGGGGGTACATCAGGGGTGGTTCCATATAAATTTAGGCAAGATCTAATAAAGTGGTCCATGAGAAAATCATCAAACTCTTCATTTGTTAACTCAGGGGTGGTCCAATATAAATTTGGCCAAGATCTGGTGATGGCATCTATTATGAAATCAGCAAACTCAATTTGTTATGGCATCTGCACGATTTTGAAGTTGGTTTTTAAAATTACTTTTATAACTTTTGTTTTAATGAGGTTTGTTCTTATATACATTCGATAGAATCATTGTGTACGATCCCGATCTTATTAGTTGTAACACTTAACCTCACTTATTAAAAATGTTTGTGTTGTGTTGGTATACTTGTTTGTAAAGTGGTCTGGATCAAACATACTAGACATAATTTTAAATTGACTCTTACACTTAAAGTTCAATGACCTGTATATCAAAAAACCAGTTATGTCCATGGAACACTGTTCCAAAAATTCTGGAAATTTCACTGAAGCTCATTTCCCCATAAGCCGGGTAGTCTGGTCCTTTATAATCAGTACAGTACAAACAATATGTTAAGTTTCATACACTCTCGCCAGAAGAACGGTATAGAATAAGCGATGCCATTGATTAGGATTAGACAGATGTAGAACAGTGCGCGTCAGCCTACTGTGGTAGAAATGTATTCATCTGTCCAATCACGGCAGGATGGCAGCCGATTCACGAAAGTCTCTCTAAAGGTACCATTTCGGTAGGCGCGACAGGAGACACCACAGAGCCGACCCCCAAGGACGACAGATGCATGAATGTTACGATCCGTACATTTGGGAAGCAAGGAGGCCGGTGACGCGACACCCGCAGACAACCATTCGAGGGAACGATCAGCGTTGCCAGACCTACTGTTTGTAAGTAGATCCACTGTTTTTGTCTCTAGCAAATTTTGTTCTTAATTTATTAAGTTTGCCTCATTCTTCAGCAAATGGTTAAAGAATATTTTCCCTAATTTATTTTCTGCAGTAAAAGCAGCCACTATTGTAGATTTGTTTTTATTTAAAATGCAACAAAAAATTAATAGGGTAACAAAAAGAACACGCATGCCAAACTCAACGATTTTGAATTATCTGATTCAGATTGATCTAAAAGAAGTAGGTATTATTTTTTCATTGGTTTTTTTTTTGTTTCCGTACGTTAAGTATATATTAAAAATGTTATTATTTGTTTTTATTCTTTACTTTCTAAATTGGGTAGAAAAATGTTTATTTTTCGTTTCTTATATACTTGTTTTTTTTTTCACCCATACTGTTTCAGCATCTGGCAACACTGCCTAGATCTAAAGAACTTTCCAACTAGCAATTCTATAAAATATCGACTAATCACCTCCAAATACAAGCGATGTCTGAGGACAGTGAGGACCGAGTGCAACACGCAGCAAACACGCTTTGACCTGAGACCGATCCAAAGTGTCGTCGAGATCTGTCTCTCGGAAGTGTCGGGCAGTGCGAAATGTGTTTCATATAATTGCATATGTTCCAGACGTGAAAAGACCGTTCTCGGTCGCGTCTGTTGTCGTCTGTCGCACCTACCGAAATGGTACCTTTACGTCCAAATATAATTAAGCGTCTCGTCTTTATTACGAAAGATTCATGGGTTAACATAGTGTATAAACATAAATAAATGTCATTAGATTAGATTCACTATATTTTTTGAAGAAAAACAGATTTTAAGTAAATGTACGTACCGTTTATTGGGACAACACACTCTGTGATGCCTTTTGTAGCTTTTCGACAATGGAGGATGTCCTTATTTGTAGGAGTATAGTCCGGTCGAGATATCCTATCGAGGTTATTCAGAAAATATTCTACCGAATCACTCTGTAACAAAAGAAACAAACGTTAGGACTTCTATTTCAAATGTCCATCAAGTGAAAAACTTTTTTTATATAATAAATTTTTTAAGATGATTGATTAAAACCGTTATTAGGAACTTATCTTTTTTATAAAACATATGACCGAGTTGAAAACTTTCAGTTAGGTTTTAAATAATATACAGTGTCTCCCATAAATATACCAACCAACTTTTAGGTGTGGTAGGGGACATCAAAATAAACATTTTTTCTTAATAATAATAACCATACGCCAAGTAGACATTTGCAATTTGTAACGTGATATCTAGTTATTCTATCTACTAGTTTAATGTGTTTGAGCTCAATTGATAGGGCGTGGGTTAGGTTAGTTAAATAACTCGAATAACTTTGAAAAAGAAGTTGGGCACCACTATATTTAAAGCTTACTACACTTGACTCTAGATTAGTGATAAAAATATAGAAAATCACTAACTACTAACAAATAATATTTAAACCATGCTTTAGATAAGGTAGCTATCAAATTCTAATTCACATAAGTTTTACTAATTTAAATTTAAAACGATTTATTGATAAAGCACTTATCTTTTGGTAAGTTTGGTAATATACGGAATGTAAATCTATATCATGGTATTTCTTCAGGCAACTTCCACAATGGATTCGGGATCCTTATTCGTAATTCTGCATAATTCTGCACTGTGAATGATCTTCAGTATTGGAACATAAACTGTCTAGAGATGAGATCAAAACCGTCTAAAGACTGAACCAAAACCTTTTTGAGATGGAACGAAAACCTTCTAGAGATTAAACCAAAAAAAACGTCTAGAGATAAATCCAAATCACGTCTAGAGATGAATCAAAAACTGTCTTCAGATTGAACCAAAACCGTCTAGATATAGCTTATAAAATCAGACGGATTTTAAGATAGATAAAATCATCTAATACTTCGGATGACCAAGATAAAAATTAAAATAAAATCAAGTTGATTATCGCTGTCGGCCAAATCAAAAAATAAATCTCACAGGACGACAAATGACATTTGAGTAAGAGGTGGTTGTGTCGAAATAACGGTTTCAACCGTTACAAATTGTCATAATTGTCTTGAATAAAAAAGCAACTAAAAATACAACTTTATGGTGCATAAAGCTTCAAAATCGAGCAGATGCCCTTAAAATTGAGATTTTTGATTTTGTCATAGATCACCAGACCCTGACCAATTGTATATATACCCCTGAGGTATCCCCTTTCTAACAAAAAAATAATCCTAGAAAACGAACAACGTGGTAAAGAATTATCGCTAAAAATACATTAAAAATTTAGATTGATGAATTTCTCATGGACCTCATTATTAGATTTTGACCAAATTAATATACGACCACCACTGATGTACCCTCTTTCTAACAAAAAAGCATTATAAAAATCGGAAAACGTAGTAAATAATTATCGCTGAACATACATAAAAAAATTCCGGTTAATTGAGAACTTCCTCCTTTTTTAAAGTCGTTTAAAAATGGAACAAAAAAGTATTTTTAGTTACTTTATCAAAAGAATTATAAAAATTTCAAAAATCTAAAGCGTGCTATTCTTTTTTAGCATGTTTACTTTAACTTTTTAGTAATAGACTTACTCCGCGGGCACGTATATGGAAATTTTGGATACACGCTAATAGGTCAAAAAAAATGCCCATTAGGATATGAACTATGAAAATTTCATTGAAACCGGTTAAACCGTAATTCTATAATGAATGTGTTTAAAGGACGTTATAAATGTAACATATGTTAAATATGAAAAGAAAATTCTGCAAATTCATGTTAAATTTTAACTTGTTACAATTAACATATTAGTTTGTACCGCAAAAATCTATTCTATAGGCAGAAATATGTCAAAAATTTAATATAAATGTTTAAGTTTAAGTGATAAATGTTGGAAATTAAAATAAAGTATTTTGCAAGTACACAAGTAATTTGAACAGTTAAAATTACACAAATTCCATTTAGAAATTATATTTATATTTGTAGATATTGATTTGTTATAGAAGACCACTATTGGGTCGTTACTAGGGTAACTTTTGTTTCTATTAAAAATCTACAAACTAGTTTATAAAGTACTCTATTTAAAATTTGGACATTCGGACGCTTCTTTTTTTCAATATTTTTGTGCATATACAATAAATATGACAAAAAAGAATGACATTCCCTTGACAGTTTAAAATTTAATCAACCGTTTATTGTAAATTTGAACTACTTTTAAGGCATGATACAAAAAATTACAAAGATATGATATCCAGTTCGCGCATGACGTATTGTGGTGTGGAATACGGCTGATTAGCCACGAGCAGAGTAAAATTTATCTTCACGTGCTGTTTTCGACCAGCTGACACCTCAAATTCATAAAAGCCACGCCTCCACACTACAATACGTCACCGTGACGTAGAATCAATATGCTTAATATCATACCTTCTTTATATAGTATCATGCTTTTAACGTATGTTTATTTAGTTGAAAATTTAACGCGTACGTTTTCCTTTTTACGGTAATTACAATTTACGATAAAAATAAACATATTGAATTAAATAATTACCATTTATGTCAGAAACGAAGCGTTTCAGACATGTTAGCAAAATATGTTAATTTTGATGTCACCTACCACCTCTAAGTTTTGACAGTATATTTACGGGACACTCTGTATGAAAGTTTCATAAATCCAGGTTTTAAATTAAGGGTCGAAGGGAATATTCTAAAAACTGTCCCTCTTGTGTTATATAGGTAACTAATGTCTTGTCTTTTACTTTCTTACAGTGCCCCCAATAAAGTGCAGGTATATTCATATTTATTAGGCAACAGTTTTTCCCAACAAACATCTTAAGCATTTTCGTTATTAGTCATATTGTACTTAAAACAGCAGGTCAGTGCAAAGATTCAAAATTAGAGGAAGCGTCTGTTTTAGACATGGATTAGCCCAGACTCAGTAGGGTAGTAGTAGATCTAGTAATAATTGTCAGAGGAAATCTTATATATACATACATCAGGAGGTGCTGGTATATGTGTTGCTATGGATATAATCATAATATACTAATTATTTCAAACAGCAGCAAATCTATTCAAGATTCAAAATAAGTTTCTTAGCTATCTTTATTATAAAAGATATATTGACGAAACTAGGTAAAATCAAATAAGAACCCAAACGCTAAGGCAAGAATTTGCAATTATTTCAAAGATCATTAGTTGTAAAGAAGCAATGATGAAAGTTTAGTTTAATATTTTTTTATTATCTTTAATTTCTATTAAAATTCCTCAAAAACGCACAAGTTGTCTATAATGTTCAGTTTGTAAACCTATTATTACAACCGCCAATAATTAAGACTTTAAAAATATGAGTTCTCTCAGATTAAAAAGAAATAAAAAATGTAGAAATATCCGAGATATTTAATTTAAAATTTAAATGTTTATGGAATATACAAAGTTAAACTGGAGTAAAAAATAAATGATTCCATAAGCAGTTCCCACATTGTTATAAATACTTAAGATAATAGAAAAATGTAAAGGTCGAATTTTAGTAATAAATGAATAGCATTATTTATCGAAAAAAAATATAAAGCAAAGCAAATTAATATTAAAACATTTAAAACGCGAGTAAATCTCGCAGGAATGTAGTTCAATTATTGCATAATAAAAAAATAAATAAACTGACGTACATGCTTGCGTTGATTTGTTTAATGTCACGCCCTTGTACAGTGTTAAAGCAGGTGAAAATATAAGGTTGTATACCTAATACGATATTTACGATATTATTATTTATAATAGATAATAAAGTATGAAACAGAATGAAGTAGGAAGGTCTTCATTTATGGCCACTGTAAAAGAGATACAGCCAAAGGAAATCCCATTATACAAATTTAATCCGATGTAAGCGCTCTCTAATCTTCAAACTATTCTTTGAAGTACCCAGTGCAGACCAGTAATGGCTCATATTGCTCTTGTTGCCTCTAAAACCCGTTCAGTATTTTTCACGTTCTATTATATCGGATGGGTTCGGAAATAACAAATTTAGGTAAAAACCAAAAAATCGCTCTGTAGTTGAAGACAGAGCGAACAAATTTATAGTGTGTTACATAAAGTTTGATCGATTGGATTTTTTTTTAATATTACGATTGGAAAAAACTGTGTTGGACAGTCACCTCTGCTATAAGTTATAAGGAGATAAACCCCAATATAACTTCATAAATATCAGTGAAGAAGAATTTCTAAAATAAAATGTTTAGCCTCATTTGTTCCAAAATAAAATGTTTAGCCTTATTTGTTCCAAAATAAAATCTTTGGTTTTCTTCCTACAATTTTTAAAAATACCAATTTGTTTCAATTCTTGTCTTAAATTTATTAGTCATTTTAATCAACAAAAATAAGGTAAGTACATTTTACCACATTTAAGACGAATAATATCAATTATTTCCTCAATACAAAACACGATTATTTTTTATAAAATTTCATTAACTAATAACTTGATTTCTCATAAAAGTAAAAGTCCTGTCCTGTGCTGTATATAAAAGATATTATTACCTGCGCCGATTGTAATTTTAATCTGGGTGTAAAGTGCTTAAAATCGAAAGGAAACAACAGTGTGTTTCTCAGAAAACTTATTGCAGATTATTACTTTCGAGAAATCGTTTCAAAGCAAGCAGGATCTTCCGTTCAAAAATATTTACAATTGTGGCAAAACTAAAGATCTTATTTATGGAAATTCCAACTTTTATCAGCACCTACTTATATTTTATTATACGCCAATTTGTTTAAAAGAGAATTTAATGAATTATATAATATAAATAGTGACAAAAAAATTATATTTGTTTGATAGTGGTATTTTAAACTTGCGTTAATAAATTTACATAATGCTGCGATAAAATTCTCGCTATATTAGTGATGACGTTATTTGTGTTACACTAACAATTACAGTGGCAGTAGATTTATAAAAATAGAGGTTATGGGTAATCATTTATTTCTATTATTTTAAAGA